GACGCACCTGTCAAGATCCGACAAGAAATATGTCAACCGAGAGTAATTACAAAGCAATGTCCACTATGCTTGAAAGGGAAACGTGTTCAGGAAGCATACTCTATCGCTTTTAATGCTCATAAATTGAAAGAAATTTCCTGTGCTGTTCCTAGAACGGAATCCATCCAGCTAGTGATAATGAAAGTGAGTTGCACAATTCCTTTCTACACCGTATAGATCAGAACATATTGACAAAAGTATATACTCTATACAAGCCAATGCACGTCAATCTAGAATTCCACTTAGATCAAATCACGAGAGAAAAATATTTGTTCGTACATACAGGTGATAAATTTGTCTATTCAGTAAAGTACAGAATTTTGTGCTGATGGATCTAATGAAGTATCAAGAAAATCTGTTCATAATTTCTTATTTTTGGGTTCTAGAAAATGTAATACTGTATGAACGAGATTGAAACCGAAAACCAATTTATAAGTACTATGCAGGTTCAGATCTCCCAGTATTTAGGATTCGATTCAATGGCGTTTATAGTCTCAGGACTAATCCGAAAATATCTTATTTTTTACCCTATTTATCTCTACAACACAGTGAATGAGAGGGGGGATCATGAGCTATAAAGTGATGCTCTAGAGACCTAACCCACAGTTCCCGTGAGCAACGATTTTCAATTTATCTAAGACGAAAAATCTAGCAATGTGTAATAGAGCCCCCAGAAAATTCGAGCTCGACTTTCCTCCCACTTTTACTCTTTACGCGCGCCATCCCTTTTGGATCTGGTCATAGCGAACACGAACTTTGGTGATACCGGTGGGATGACACCAAAGGACGAAACCTTTAAGCTTTTCCTTTACCGTGCATAAATAATATTAAATATAAAAGCTCAAGCATAAAACAGAGCACCCGCGGAGATGTCCTTTCCAGCAGAATGGTACGCGATCTGATTCCAATTCAGTAATCGAAAGTAAGGAAGCAGTTAGTTCTACAAGGGTACAAATAATAGACACACTCTATATGCTTATATCAATATCATAGTCTTAGAACGAGAGAAAATAAACTAAAAATATAATATAAGAACGTCCTATATCCTTCAGATCATACTGCAGAAAAAGGTGTTCGAGTCCATCTCGTGGTTCAGAGCTATGAACACCAACTGCACATGGAGTCCACGAGTCTGATGGGCATGAATCTGCACGAGAATATCTCAATCCCTCTATGCGACTTTCAAAATTAGGGATAGGCAAATGACGAGGTCGATGAAATGGAGGCGGGACTACACTACTCTCCCTCCATAATATGTCATGGACAGATCGGGTTTATTCTAGACGGATCTCATGATTGAGCACCGGGTGGAATGGCCGTGAAGAATCGAGGATTGGAAAAGGTCATGCCTCTTTTGCGACATGAAATCGACGACGGAGTCGTGCTTTTCCATCTCGAGGGATGCAAATTGAACCGACATTCGTGGGGGGGATTGGGGGAGTGGATAAGGGGTCTAGCTTTAGTCGAGAAGAGTAGAATGCAATGATGAGCAGTAGGATGGGTTCATAACAAAACCTGAATCGTAGACGGGTATCGGACCCCATTATTCCGATCGCGGCACATCAATTGGACAACCTATGGATTCTGCGAAATCCATGAAGAATCGTGGTCGTGAGCGTTCTTGATGGAGGAGTCCCTCGGTGCGTTTGATTGCTCTCGGTGGAATGTGTGAGGAGAGAAACCCTCGCCCATCAAGTCGTCGAGAGAGAGAGGGCGGAGACGGGCGCGAAGATGAGCGACTTTGTGATGAGTAAAGTCTCGACGTTGTCATTTTGGGTGTCCAAGTATCGGCGTTCCGTCGAACCTCACGTTGCTCGCTCGTGTAAATGAGGCGTTTTGCATCATAAATATGAGGTCGGCAGTTGGCTGACTCCCAACAATTATTTCGTGCCGTATGTGGAGATAGATACATGGCCGTGTAGTGGAGTAGAAGTGGTAGAAATCAACGAGAACGGGGCTCGGGCATCTCTCCACAAGATGTAATGACCATGACCGTGGAAGGAAGTAGGGAAGGTGCGCACTCAAGCATTTGGTGCGGAGGGAGAGCGGGACAGCATGCTTCCATTAATTGGCGGCAAGTCAGATAAGGTGGATGCTGTGCAAGGCCCCGACTGGCCAAGAATGCCGAGCATTAGTTCTTGCAACTGCGGGTCGCATTCAAATCTCTCGCAAAGAACCCCACTTCGCTTTCTTGTTCTTCAAGAAGAAGACTCCGGTTTCAAATTTGAATTAATTGTCCATCTCAACCGCTGTCAGCTTCTCCGTCCTGCTCCTCCTTCATGAGGGACGCCATGGGCTTGGATTCTGGGCACTTTGGGCAGGTTCGACCTCTGATCAAGGAGTCGATCTGGAAGCATTTGTAGCAGCTTAGAGCAAGTTCGTCGTAGGAATCGATGCAAGTTCTACTCGTGAAAAAAATATTCTTTCTTGCTGGAAAGGGAGAAATGTCGATGATCATGGACGAGACACATTTATCGAGTGTGGGAGGGAGGGAGAGGAGGTTGTACAGGTCACGATCAGGCGTGAGTGCGGGGCTGTACAGTACATCATGGGCAAGGGAGGTCGTCCGTCCGTGTCGGGGAGGAGATACGAGGAACGCCGTGCATATAATTTCATAGCCATACTATGCTGTATCAGCTGGGATTCAGCGATGAGCTGCAGCTTCTGCACTTTAGAACTCGTCCAAGGGCGCATAATAAAATCATTCGTCCGCTTTGGGTCAGGCAACTCATGGACTTCTAGGGCGTCATACTCAGCTCTCGCCATTTCCACAACGCTGCGGAATGTCAGAAGTCGACGTGCAGTCAGCAAAAACGCACGTCTTCGATGTGCGTCTGAAAGGAGAACGCGCTGAGTCGAATAGGGCTAGGGGCGGGGGGTGAGCAGTAGAGTGTACTCACTTCCCTGAGCACATGCTATTGCCGCAGTGGAATTCTAAGGTTGGAAATCACTCGGGGTCCCGGCTAATGTCACGCTAAATGTCGTCTAATTGTCGCTACCAAGCTTTTACCGACTGGTCCGAGCCTCTGCTGCGCTTTTTGTCTCTGCCCCTACTTTACACAGAGGCGTATAACATAGAGCATAGGGCGCCCTCTGCGTGCCTGCCGCAGCTGCAGCTGTTGCTGCACTGCCTGCCGCTGTTGTTCTGCTCGACACTTCCAGACTTCCAGTCGACCTGTGGCTCATGTCTGCTGCTGCTGAGCTTAGCGCGATCTGCCGCCTCTTGTTAGTGCTCATACAACTTGCTCCAGGTACTCAACCTGCCAAGGATCTTGACAAATAGCGCTACCGTATCTCTGCAAGCGTAGAATATTCAATCAGAATGAGATTGACTGTGGATATCGTAGTCGAAGTGCGCTAAGATGATTGACACGGATTACACCCGCATTTATGAGTCCACGTGAGAGTGCCGGGGAGAGGTGAGGGTCCAGGAAACCGGTGAGATAGGGAAGAAGAATGGTAACTACTTCAAGGCTCGGAAGTGGCCTGGATCGTGGTCGAGGCAGGAGACAGAACCCGCCAAATGTTCGTCTGGCCCCTCGAGCCAAGAGAGACGAAAGTGCTCACGCTGATGGAAAAGGAAGGCACTTGATTACGAGGCAGCAGAGGCGAGCGGATTGACAGTCAGACCACTCACTTGCTCCTTCAGAGGCCAGCCATGTTTACGTCGGGGTTCTGCGACTTGTTCCACCGGGATTAAGGTTAGCGTGTGCGTGTTTTCTGTAGCAGCTCGAGAGGTGCGATTTGGCGAGGAAGGATCTCTTCGAATGCGCTGTCCTTTTTGGCGACGGGTGGGTAGAGACTTGGGAGTTAAGACATCCAGAGCTCTTGCGAGCACGCTGGCAATTTCCAATACGGAGGCACTTTGACCAGGTGAAAGCTTCCCTCCGTCCCAGACGCCAGTCCATAATTGATACTTTCACATACATGCACATTCTGACAGTCAGTAAGCAGAATCAGTGGTCCCCAGAAAGACAAGCTCAAGTCCTGAAAGGCAGTGATGAACCATTGCACAGGTGTACTGTCATTACCTTAACCTATTATATTCCGTGACGTCGAATGAATGCGTACTGCTCGAGAGGGCGAACACTCATTTCGTCACATTGAATTGACTGCAGTTATTGGCACACAGCTGGTAGTCACGCCTGGTCAGACATGGGCAACATCGCAAAGCAACTCGACACACCGCGCCCACTATAGTGACAATACAGAGGTCGTGATGGATCGCCGAGACCCCATAACAGACCATAACAGACATCTCCCCTTCAAGACTCCGGCCCACAGACTTCAGACTTTGCCAGCGCCATCTCGTCTTCGCGTCCAGCTGCATACGTCCAACCATGGCAGAGGCTAAGGGCCTCTAGGGCGCCTCCGGACCTCCCACCCCGGGTCTACCTCTACGCCATAGGCGTAATTGACCCTTTGGATGCTGTACAGTGTGCAACTGTCAACTGTCCAAAATAACCAGTTTAATGAGCTCAGAATCTTTCGCAACCGCGAAGTTACCAGAGGACGATCCGCGCAGCGTAACGAGGACGTACACAAGGCTCATGTCGAGCCTGAGACCTTGATTGAGCTGGCTGGAGCTGGACCTTTTTCCAAATCAGAGTCACAACCCAGCGGTATCCTAGAGTATGCCTGCACTCGGTGACGCGAATCTCGAAAAACCCATCTCAGTAATGGAGATTACGCCACGTAATTATGATTGTCATCACACCACAAGGACTAACTCGGTGAGCCGGCTATGCATCCTTCCCGGAATCTAGACAGCGATACGGAAGACAACTGGACGCATAATACGGACCGGGGAGGTGGACAGAGCGCATGAAGCTGCTGCACAAAATCCGAGATGGCCGACGGGGAGACGGGGGGTGGAGGGAGGGAAGGGGGGAGAGCGAGAGTGTGTTTGTGAGTGTTTGAGTGAGTGAGAGTGTGTATTTGGGCTCGCAATCAGGAGCTATACGTCTACGGAGTTGATATGATCATATTAAGTACAGATAATTACACAGCACACGTACAAGTGCGAAAACATCGCATTGCTTGACGATGCATAACATGAACTGTTGAACAAATATTGTTCACTGCTGGAGAAATTCGAAGAATTAAAATACTCAACCAAAAGTCTCTACTGTAGAATTGCTATTCTAATCCAATGCACCTAATTCCAGGAAGAAGGCAAAAATGGCTTTCCACTCTTTAGTAACCACCACCAGCCCGGGCAATCGTCCGCAGCGCCTGCATAGGGGACGTTCTTCTACGGACAGATCTCACTCCGTCATCGATCAAAAAAGCAAGAATTGCTAACAGAGGGACGCTGCTGCTTGCTCGTTCGTTCGTTCGGGCGGGGTCTGATCTCTCAAGAAACGCGGGAGGAAGAGCTTCCCCTGGCGCCGGCCTCCTCGTAACAGTTTGGCCATAGAGGGAAGAGCTTCTTGCCTGCCAAACGATGCTGTACCTAGTCAGAACACGTCTCTCGTGCAGAATAGCTCCTCGTCTGGGAAACGAGACAAATAATAGACGAGACGAGAAGAAGCTGTATGAAAGCTGCGCAGTGAAAATGCCAGAGGTCCGATGAAGCTCGAGCTTGAGCACCTTTGCGGACGAGGATCCGTGGAATCTCCGAAGCCGATGCCTGCCTCCGCCCCGTCGTCGTCACTGAAGCCACTCGCTGCCGGGGATCGATGGCGCTGTAAAAATAGCTCTGTCTCCCGGACTGTCTTGTGTGCCTCCTCCTCTCTTGTTCTCGTCTCGATTCAAAGAATTTCAAGAATAATAACTAACTCAGCTAAATCTTCATAAAAGGACCGCGGCCTCCCGAACAAAAACCATTAAATTACAGAGATGGAGAGGCACCGCGACCCTTGAATCTGTCTTCTAGTATACACATACCCTCTGCTGCTGCTGCTGCTGACAAGTTCAGGCAATGAATGCTGAACGAATCTCAATCGGTCGAGGAAACGAGCTCGGGCGGGAAGGCCCTCCGATCCGATACGATCCGATCAGATGAACCCTCGCTTGAGCTTCGAGATCCTCGACAGCACATTCCGCACGCTCACCTCGAAAGCATCCTCGAATTCGCCGTTGTTGCTGGCGTAGATGAGCCGGGGGATGAAGGAGATCACCGTCTCGCGCATGCTGAGCACCTGCTCGAGCGAGAAAGAACTCAGCACGTCCTCGACCACGAGGCCGCTGCGGATGTCGTGCTCGGAGATGAAGACCGAGTAGGTAGCGGGCTCGCCCGGCAGATGCCACATGTACTGCGAGTAGGCCGAGTCGTTGTGGAAGAAGACGGGAATGCAGCCAGCGATCATGGAATCGAAGGCCGATCGGCGAGTGGGCGTGTCGCCGCGCGGCTGCAGGCAGAAGGACGAGTGCAGGAAGGCCTTCATGATCGGCTCTGGGTTGTGGCTGCACTTGAGAATGGCGCAGTTGATCAGCGTGCAATTTCCCGATTCCGAGCACTGATCGAGCAGATAATTGCGGATGCTCTGCGGGATGTTGGAGCGCGAGGCGCCAGCGAACGAGAAGAGCGACGAGCGCCTCGAGGCGCGCACGCGCGCCACCCAGGCCTCGAGCTCGGCCGCGCTCGGGTGGAACGAGGTCAGGTAAGGAATGGCCCACTCGTGCTTCATCCACGGCTTCTTCTCCATGATCAGCGCCGTCATGTTGGTCAGGTGCGGCAATTGGAACAGCCCCGTGCCCCACTGCGTGTGCGTCTCGTTGCCCAGCAGGTAGAAATCCCACGACGTGCGCCCCAGCACCATGAAGTGGTCCTTGCCGCCATGCCGCTCCCACTCCTGCTGCGCGTTCTCCTTGATCCACTCCACCAGCGCCTCGCCGTGCGAATCCTTCTGAATGCTGCTGTTGTACAGATACCGCAGCGCATCGACCCCGACATAATAAGGAAAGTAGAACGCATCTGCTCGCGCCGCGTCCGATGTCAAACACGAGTATTTCTGCATGCGCGAGTGGAATACGATCTCGAGCATGTACGGGTCCGTCTTGTACCAGCCCGAGCCGAGCCACCCCGACTCGCCGGCGCCGCCGCCCCCCGCAGGCGCCAGGCCCGTTGTCGCCTCCAGCGGCTGCTCGACCTGGTAGCTGCTCGGCGCATTGCTCGACCAGGCGCCATGCAGCTGGCCGAGGCCGCCGTTCTCGGCGTGTGGGCAGAAATTCAACCAGCTCGTCACGCCATACCTGCACTTCTGCACGAGCTCGACGTTGAACTCGCCCGGCAGATCGTACATGAAAATCCGCCGCCCCTCGCACTCGTCCTTGCTGCCGCTCTCCGCTGCGCTGTGCAGGCGCAGCTGCCGCGTTCTTTGCGTTCTTGCTTGCACCTCCAAGCTCGTCCAACACGAGAGCAGGATCAAAATCCCCATCAGGCTGAAATACACGTACGCGTGAATCGACAACATCTTCACCGAGACGATGACGCGTCGGGCGCTCCCGAACCGTTTTCTAACAATCGTCTCGCCTCGCCTCCTTCTCCTCCTCCTCCTCCTCCTTCGCCTCCTTCGCTCCCGCTCTTCCTGGTCCTGCGCGGCGAGTGTGGATTACATAAGCGCGCTCTGCCGCTAGAGTGCGCAATGCGGTCCTCCCATAAGGGATCGAGATCGTTCCCTGGCAGCAGACGATCGAACTACCCTTTCCCAGAGCGCAATGTGGGCCGAGGTCGTCTCGCCTCGCTCCGCTGTCTCAGCACATGCGCCCTCCTCCGACTCTGGCACGTTCAATTCTCCAGGCCCTGCGTTTCCTCACGCCATCCGGGCCCCTGCAGCTCTCGTGGGTGATGAAGCTGTCGCTTTCCTTCGACGGCCTCGTCTGTCGCTATCGCTCGCTCGCTCTCTGTCTGTCTGTCTGTCTGTTTGTCTGTCTCTGTGAGGGAATGAGCTGCTGCTCCTGTTCAGTCGACGTCGTCGTCGTCTTCCCTCCACTCCTAGACCTGAAGCCCGGCATTCACCACCATCTCCCGCGCTTCTGCCTCCTCTCTCTCTCTCTCTCTCTCTCTCTCTCTCTCTCTCTCTCGCCCTCGCGCGCGCTCGCTCGCTCCACTGCGAACTCTCAATGGCGGTACGGGAACCTTTGCGGCTCTCGTGCGCCAACGAGGAGGAGAGATGATCGAGCAGCGAGGGAGCGAGTTATCTATCTACACGGACGCTGCTGCTGCGTTCGAATGAGCCCGCAGCTCGACTGCAAGCAAGCGACTGCACCTTCTTCAGGCCTTCGTTTCGCGGTTCAGACACTGTAATATATTACTCGCACACAGCAATTCGACGCGTGACAGGGCGACCCCTCGCGACGACAAAACCACCCTCCACCCTCCACCCTCCCCACCACTCCGTCCGTGGCTGGCGCGTGCTGCTAAAAGGCCTAGTCCTCCTCCTCCTCTCCTCTCCTCTCGCTTCCCTCCCTCCCCCGCTCTCCCTCCCCTCCACCCACCTGTGTACTTCTCCTGTCCCGGGCGTGTGAAACCAGCTCTGTAATGATCATCTCCACCTCGGACCAGTACTTGACTAGCGCCCGATCGATCCAGCCAGCGAGCTAGAATATGACTTCCCTTCCTCCTCCACCCCCTGCCTCTACAACAACACCAACAACGAATTGATGTCGTAACTCTCTCAGCTCGAGTTACTCTAATGCTAGTGATTAGCGACACCACAGGCAGACGGACAACTCCTCTCGCTCACGTAACTGCAAGAGCCGTGACTGCTCGTCCTTTTGGCCGAGCTCGAGCTGCTATTCGGGATCGAGTGAGTGAGTGAGACTATGTACTCGTCCTTCTTCTCCCTCTTCTTCCTCGCAGCTCTCCCGATCATCGACTTTTAGTACCCCCAGCCTCGCGCGCTCCCTTGGCACTCTCGGGGAGGGAGGGAGGGAGGGATTCACGGAGGGCGATGGAGGCCATGCGCATGCATGCATACATACATGGGTGTCATCGTCGCGTCGTCGTCGTCGTCGTCGCCATGCATGCATCACCCGACTCCGCCTCCTCCTCCTCGTCATCCACCTACTCGCACCTCGTACCTCCGATGGGCTCATCACTCGGCTCATGGCATCCGAGGCACCATACTAGAACATCGCGGAAGGAACAAGAGCGAGGCGCAGAGAGTGAATACGGCGGATCGTGGAGTTACTCGGCGGTCCGGCGAGCCCCGCCCTTTGGCCGTCGATCGGGGATCCGAGTCCGCCATCGACGGCTTTGACCGGTGTTTTGGACAAAACAGCATTATGGCAACATGAAGCGTCGGATCTCGGATCGAGGGGCCCTTAACCTGCGGAACTGGTCCAAACACAATCCTCTTCGGGGATGGAATCTTAACCTAACCAGGGGAAGGGAGCCAACGACGGGGACGGGGCCGGGGCACCGAACGTACACGATCCTCTGATTCACAACTCTGGGCTCTGACGAGCGGACAGGATCTACGGACAGGTACACGAAAGGGACTTTGTCGGGCGGGACAGACGCGAGAGTCTACCGGCACGGGCGCGGGCCGCGTGTCAGGCACGGGAGCGCCCAGAAGTGTGGCGGTTAGCGAGTCCAGAATCACGGGCGTGTCCCGCACCCATGCTCTCCCTGCCGGGCGCTCCTCTGCCACACCCTCACCCCTCCCCTCCTTTCCTTCGGGCTTTCCGATCCGCCTCTCCTCGAGCCTACCCAGGCTTGGTAATCGAGGGCCGGACGTGAGAACCCGACCTTCCCTTTCCACTGCAGGAATGGACCTCGAATCGACACTTGCTGCTACTTGGGCTTCAATTTCGCCTCCGGCCCTTCCACGGCTCGTTACGCGTAGGACGAGACGAGACGAGACGAGAGCGAGAATTAGACCACTGTGCATGAGAATTACGCACGATCGATTCCTTTCCTCGTAGACTATCTTAATTGGTTGGCACCCTTCATATGTTACTCTACGAGCCCGGCTTCTCTCGACCCCCATTCGCTATGTTGCTCCGGCGGGAAGCCAGCATTGGCACTCTTGCTTTGGGGAGTCCCCGATTTCTCGACTTGCAAGTTTCCAGGCAGAGAGGCAAGAAGGAAGGGATTTTGCTCCTCCGGATTCGGCCCGTAGGATAATTGCATGGCGGAGGAGTTTGCGTTCCGGAGATCTGGGTATCTTTTAGAACGTCCAGTCAGCTGAGCTGACTCGAGGTCATTCCAAGAGATGAGACGATCTGCTGCTGACTTGGTCCCGAGGTCCGATAGTTTGACAAGCTTGGCGTATTGGCCATTTCGTTTCACGGGGACGTCTGTAATGGACAACGTTACCTTGACTGGCGGTAAAGGTCTGAGGCGGGCACGTCCACAGCCGAGATGGAGCCTGATCGTGAAGCCGGTATCGGTTGATAATAGATAGCCTTACGTATCGGACGCCGAGCTCGACACTTGCTGCAATTCTGGTAGCACGACGTGCTGTTACCAATATCCATTACAGTGGTTTGGCAAGGGTTTTGTATAATAGGATGTCGAATATGATCGAAAGGCTGCTCTTGTGGTTTAGCGAGTCTGACGACGGGGAAGTCATGCGAGCGAAGGAGCAACATGCCACAGCGCCGTGGACGTGGATGAGAAAGTGCTAACATCTATGAGGCGAACGAAGGCACTGGGCGCCGAGTGATGTTCAATCATGTCCTCGTTAAACTTATTCATCGGCACCTTTATGTAATGTGCAGGTTAACTGTTTCACCAATCACGAACCAGAACGAACGATACTCCTCCGCTCATGCACACCACCCATAGCCTTATTACTTTCATAACCAAATCAAAATATCAAACCTGCATGGTCAGGAGTCAAAGAATATTGTTAGCGGTAGCCTGAACATTCAACTACAGTAATTTCAGGTCAGATGCGCCATCAGACACATCGTCATGCTGGAATAAAAAAAGACTGTTCCGCAATATGTAGAAAAACAACGCACTAGTCGCGTCATCAAGCTCGCTAACACGTTCGAAAGTTGCGAGTCAAAGGAAAGAAGAACGCAGGTCTTCTCCGAAACCCACGCCCTCCACGGCAAACCTTTACACACCAACGAAAGCTCTAAACCGTGTTTTGCGTTAAAATAATAAGAAAGAAAGAAAAAAAAAACAGTGCAAGATTCGCCGTTCGCTCCTTTGTTTCTTCGGGAGTCCGGGCAATATTTCTCCATGCCTATCCGCCTCTCGAGCTCCGCGCGCAAGGGCATGCGAACCGCACGTGGTAGCTCGAACTTCACTCGCTTGGTCGCCCACGCGAGCGAGAGCATTCGGCAAAGATCGTCGTCACGACGAACGAACCGAGACACCAAGAAAGAAGAAGGGGCTCGTGAGCATCGATCGATGAAGAAGGAGGAGGGCTCCCGTCCACGTCGTCGTTGAAACGGAGAGCAGGCGATGCGCGCGGGGCAGGCTCGAGGCGCGTCTTGGAGGACGAAGAAGACGCGGCCTCCTGTCGCAGACGAATCTTTCGACCCAAGGGCTCCCTCCCGATGGATGGACGGATGGATGAAGAACGTACGAACTGCGGCGACCTGCAGTTCTCGAGCACGCACTATGTTCTTGAACGGGATGGGCACCTGGACGAGGCAAGAACACGGAGGAAGGGAGGTGGTGGTGGTCGAAGCTCAGCTCAACTCAGCCACAGTACTTTTCGCGAATGGATGGAATTTCTGTCGAGCCTGACAGCGCATTATCCAGTCCGACATGGACCGGGTCATCGAGTTCGTCCTACGTGTAGCGAAACCAAGTAGGTCCGGTACGTTTTACTTTTCAACTTTCGGGCCAGCTCCAGTAACCGCGCCGGAGCAAAAGGGAAACATGCGAGCCCCTCGCTCTGACAGGATGGTGTAGTCCAGTAGGCCAGTTGGAGAGAACGGAGCCCGGAAGAATCCGTGACCGACGTCCGTCGGCTTCCAATGAGGATCGGGATGGGAGCGAATGCGACTGACACCGGCGATGGCCAGTTGGCCTCTTTGGGAGCAGACGAAGGCAACCGAAGCGAAGCACGGGTACAAAGGCAACGCTCGGTCGCCAGTAGGTATGCCGCATTAATGCGGACGGACGGAATGTGCCACTTTCGACTTTACACCGCACACTCGTCTGTCACCGTGCGCGGGTCAACCTGACATTCTAACGGACGGCAACTTTTCAGACCCCCAAACTTTCTCCCCCTGATTCCCTCTATGTTCCGAGATTCCCCTCGCCAAGGTGGCCACAGGCTCTCAGTGGCCCTCTTTGCAGTCGTCCAGCGTTCGTGTTGAAGGTTCATATTCTCAGTCGAGGTGCCCATTTGGAAGATATACTGGTTTGTCTCTTGCCGTGCCCAATCAGGGCCACAAGTGCAAGTGGCCAGAGAGATCTGCTGACAGCAGAGTGGGATTTTTTAAAGCATATTTTAGACTTTCTTCTCGACGATGATCGCAACATATGCCAACCGCCTATGCAATGTTTCAGAGCTATGCTACTGCATATATTTGAGTGAACGTGACATGAGAAGAAGAATGATGATGGTGATGATGATAGTGATAATAAATTAGAAAGGTGAGTTGCGAGCGATGAGCCAATGTGGTGGCTGATGGGGATGCAAGGCTAAGGAAGATCTACTCTTGCCGCAAGGCATGATGTGCATAACGCACACATGAGCTGACCTTCGGTTTTGTAAGTATGTGTTTGCAAATCTGAACAGCAACGACTCATCCTCATCTTCATCCTCCCCCTTGCTTCATTCTCCCTATGCTCTCGGATTTGTCGGCACGGGGAGTCCAGGGGGTTGTAGCTGGAGGTTTGCGCTCAAAGAATAATTTTTCAAGCACCATCTGAAGGTCAAAAGCAACGACTATAGCTTTGTAGGAAGTCTATGCGGATCGGTGCATGTCAACCAACGTTTTCGGGTCGAGAGTCCGTCCTCGATCGGGTCTATTGATGTGTCTATCTATCTATCTATCTATCTATCTATCTACTACAACCACCCCAAGAGGTTTTTCATCATTGCCGAGCTGGTGTTAGATCAGATGACATTAGAAATTCGAGGAAAGTTGTAGTTCTTAGATCATATGAGAAAGTCAGAGCGACTGATTTCTGTCTTGTTTTGCGGCTCTCCTTCTCGGGATTCATGCTCTGTGATCCGAGGGCCAAGGCAACTCTTTGTCCTTTGACTATCTATCCATCGGTCAATCTATCTATCTATCTATGCTTTGGTCTGCTTTCCTGCTTGGGAAGCTGCAAGCGCTACGATATCCTGCTCTGAATCCTTGACTATGATCACACCAACCATACATTCAACTATAAAAATGGGTGCTAGCTTTGGTTCAGTATATTCCATACGTGAATCACTTCAGAGTTCCTCATTACGTCACATGTGTCCTCACAAGGAAAAGCCTCTCTGCACGTTGAGCCTTGCATTGAACTCTTTCTTCTTATTCCATACGTTCGGTTCGTGAAAATAATTCGGCTTGTGACGCTTTTCCATCCAAAAGAATAGAGGGACCATGAGTTCCTCGAGAAACATTTTGATAGAACTAGATGTTGGAGAATATTCCAGCATCTGAACTCTCTTGTGAGTCATACCAATGAACGTCTGCCAACATTCGGTCACCATGTGGGGAACATGTCGCTTGACTTGATTTTCGTCCGTTGAGGACCGGTTTACATCTATTTTTATGGTCATTGCATTGCTCTGCCCAACACAAAACGTATGTCTGAATGTTAAGAAAAAATCTCATTTATCAAGTTGACCTTTTGTTTCGACGTCTCGTTCACCATCTTTCGAATGTCAAATAAAAGAACATGGCGTGCAGATCATGGTAACTTCCAGTCCACGCGTGAACACGGAAAAAGTAAACTCAGAAGGGAATACATGAGCAGATCGATACAAGAAGAAGCCAGTTTAGTCGTTCTTCAGAATAAGACCGAGCATGATAACCATGAGATTCGTCTCATAGAGACAGATATTAGTGAGAGAATTCCCAAAGCTCTCCCAATAAGACATCAGATCTTACTCTTGGCTCTAACCGCCTAATTTTGGATCGACAAACAATCCTTCGGACCGAAAGTACTGCCATCCTTTTTAGCCAATATTATTTCAGAACCCCTTTTCAAGCGTACGTTGGTATGCAATAGCATGGAGCCCCTTAAATTTCATGAAAAGAAGCGAAAATAATTCAGGACTTCGTACCATGTACCATCAAATGCCGGGAGCTTTTGCAAAAGGAGGTAAAATACCACACAAAACGCACCCGGACCCCGAAAGCGCAGAAAGCAAAAAGGGACGGACAAGCCTCTGGGAGCAAAGCAAAGCAACGCAAAGCATCTGCTCTGGTCTACCACAGACAGACAGCCCTTGCTTGCCATGCCATGCCAGCGGATGGCGCACAGTAGAAAGGCGCACGCTGCCCCACCGAGGTACACACCAAACAAAACCCCCACTCCTCTTTCGCGTGAAGTGATAAACCCTAGCAAGCAAACAGTCGGCCAGGCCAGGCCAGTCAGTCAGTAGTACACACGAAACATCAGCCCCCGGCTTATAATAATTATGTGCCATCGGTGCCAAGTCGGTAAGAAGAAGGACGGATGCTCGACCATCTCCTCCACCTCTCTCTCTCTCTCTTTCTCTCTTTCTCTCTCCACTCACTCCTTCATGAGAAGGAATCCATGTTCCAGCAAATCAAGCTTTCCAACTTTGCCCTCTGGTGCTGCTTGTGGTGGTAGTGGTGGAGGAAGGTCGACCTCTTCATTGATGGATGGATGGAAGGAAGGAAGGAAGGAAGGAATGAAGAATTGGATGGATGGATGGATGGATGGATGTGGGAAGGAACGAAAGGCTGGACCTCACGAAAGGTTGCCCATGAAAGGGGCCGAGATTCGACCCGGGCCCTTATAATGTACCAGCACTCGATGCGGTACGACCGACGACGACGACGCAGACGGACGGAGAGTGGAGATGTCACAAATATCTGTGGAGCAGTACGATGCGCACATGCAGGCCCATACATGAGCCAGAGCCAGAGCCAGAGCCAGGGCATGACACAGAGGCAGGAGATTCATGCAGCGAGGGCGAGAGAATGATCGATCGATGGATGGATAGATCGATCGAGTTCGTTGAGGCTTCGAGCCTTTTCCCAGTCAGATACTCGCTCGCTCACACCGTATGCAGAGCATACGGCCGGCATCGCCATGCTCTGCGCTCGGCAAATGCCAGCGGCCGTTGCGTGCGCCAAATCTTCAGGCAGTTTTGGAGGTTTTCGGAGTCGGTTTGATCTGGTTCCAACTTCCTTCTTCTTCTTCTCTCTCTCTCTCTCCCTCTGGCTCTCTCGCTCTCTGCCTCGGCTGCGACCTCTTTTCCATCTCGAGAGGGCGAGGACGACAGAGAAGATCGGATCTGTGGTGCTCACCACGATTCAGCCTGGACCACCTCCGGAATGCACCGGATCAAATGTTGCCTGGAGGCTCTTGCCTTGGCCATTGCTTTAATCTGTGACATAGTTTCGAGTCAGCAGGAAGTGCGTGCTCGCTCCGGCAACTAGTCAATGCATCATACATCGTACCATATACAGCTTAGAATGAGTCCGAGGTTCTTCACAACTTGGGCTCACCCTCAATTGCCTCGTATTGCATTGCCTCGTATTCATGCTCAGGAATCTTCTTTGCACAATGACCATGTTCATGTTCCCAAACCTGGGCGTCTGTGGTGGATGAGTGAGGTTTGGAGAGAATGATTGAACGAACGAATGAATCAATCCATCAATCCATCAATCAATGGCGATTTGCGGCAAGAAGTATGACGAGTCTACGATCGTGTACCCATCCCATCTCTCCAGGCCTTATCCCAAGGACAGCGTCCTGGAGGGGGTGGGGGGGGGGGGGGTGAAGGGAAGGGGTCATGACGACCGGTTCGTTCGTTCCTAACGACCGACCGGGCGATGGAGGAGGGGGGGCGAAGAGGCCGGTCGGTCGTTATTCAGCCGATCGAGACCACAACTCGGCGACATTCTCGAGTCCCGAGAATCGTCCGGAATGGTCTTCTTCCGAGTCTCTCGATCTAAATCGAAAGGAACAATATACGACGAGCGAACTCAGCATGTAATCCCGAGGCTAGGGAGGCAAGGGAGGTCGCAATTCTAGGTCCACGGAATAGCTCATCACTGATGCGCTATTTCGTGAAATCCGCTGTCAATACGTGATGCGGCATCACGTATGGAAAGGGGGGAGAAGATTCAAAAGAGTGCGCTGTGACGAAGTCCCCGGCAAAGTGGGAGGGAGAAGGGGAAGAAGAGGACCTTTCTTTGGCTTGTCACCTGAAGACTCCCCCCTACCGGTAAGGGAGGGAGGGATTGCGCAAGACATGGGCTTAGATCTCAAAAAGCTAGTCGATGTTTGGACCAGACGAGAGACATTAACGCGCCGAGGCTGGCATCATGTACGGTGCAACAGTTAAGCACAATGAGCGAGGATCTAGTCACTCCTTTCCCCATTATGGGGTACCCGCTCGTCCCACCAGAAGAAGTAAGAAGAAGAAGAAGAAGCTCTACATACATGAGGGACACCGAACTGCATCTCCCATGAGCCAACCCCGCCGGCACCAGGGACGGCTGGCATTTGGGAAGCACTGTGAAGAGATAATTCCCATTTTGCTGGATGGAGTCAAACAGCCGATGATGGATAAGCATCGTCTTGGTCCACTCTCTTTGGGTACGGTTGGATCGAGATTGAGGGTTGGACGCCAAGTTCCTATCCAGGGTCGACGGACGGGGCACGAGATCATCTTCGTGGTGCAAGCAAAAGGTTCTGACCTCAAAAGGTTAGTCGTCAAAGCAGGATCCGAGCTTGTGAAGAATTCATGCGAGGGGTTCACTTCGGGCATTCAGACTATTTTGACGTCAAGACGACTTCGATCCTTCCGCTTCAATTTTTGCCCAGTAATACGACACCCTTTGCTAAAAATCAAATGCCCCCAAGTGCTCTTCAGGTGTAAAATGGCACACCATTTCAAACTTCACTGGATGTGCCCCATCCATGCGCAATTGGTGGACAACCCTGGGGATTTTTATTGGAGCAGAAGGACAAGTTTACACAAGCATTGAATATGACACTTGTGAGGACGGCTAGCAGTGTCTGACAACGTCTGGCCTTTTAGGGTGCATAAGAGACGTCGACATTGATAAACGGCAAATTGCAGGCCACAAAAAAGATGGTACCGAGACGCAAATGGGCTGAACTGACCAAAAATCTTCACTTTTTCTTTATTTGAACGTAAAAAGAGGAGTGCCTTTCGGAAATTGAATGTGACATATGCGGACATATGTCACCCAAAGCACAACTACAGACCTCCTGTGAACTTTACAAGTCCCTGTTGTCAGCCAGGTCTAAGCGGTTTGGACTCCGGTAACTAATAATGGAATGTGCAGTACTGTACTTCGAATCTTGAATTAAATCTACGGTATATGTACAACTGATGCTCGCTGGAACTCCGACTCCCTCCCAGTTGTTCATGGGACTGATTGCTCGTAGATCCAGCTCCAAATCAAGGAAAAACTAAGAGGTATCAAGCGTCGTAGTAGAGCCGCCGTATTTTGTCTTCAGATGCGCTTGCTAACGTGATAGGACAACGCTTATACTGCAATACCCAAGCAGTCTTGTCAGTAATATGAGAGGCCACCTTGCATTACGTAGTTCTTCCGGGGGAACTGACTTCGCAACTGAGGGTCTTGATTACTAACTGAAAACTTTCAGCACAAGTCTGACAAGGTAAACTGCCTCCAGTGGGACACTTCTAAGCGAACAGCCCAAGCGGGAACTGCCATTGCCACAGGCATCTGCAGTTTATAGCTTCTGTTCATAGCGAGAATTTGAAGACTACACAAAAGAATAGCAAACGGGAAAAGTTCAACAGGTTCAAGTAAGTATATAATGAGAAGATTTTGGAGCTTCGAAGAGGTAATAATCATCCAAAACATTTATCCATCACTAGAATCAAACTACTAATGCTACTGTCCTGAGATACTGAGAAATAGTCAAACGGGATTACTACGTAACTGGACCTGGACTATCTTATGTGACTAAGTAATCAGGCTACATCTTGTGGAACTAAAAATCTGAGTACTGTTAGGCATATATATGAGTACTCTTAATTGACTTTGATGCAAGACATGAACGTGTTGGTGATTTGCTGTCTCAGAAATTTCCAAGGATATCGCAGTGCCAGTGCAAATACTTCGTACACGACACCGGCGGTCACAGTAATCAATACTCGGAGAGATATTCTTACGCCTATACAAATTTATCTCAAATCAAAGGGTCAGGGTTGCAGCAGAAAACACAAACATAGAGGACCGATTTTTCGGATGGGAGAAAGTAAATACTGAATCTTCTCGGGTAGCTATTTCACGAAGTCACACAAGAGTCCTAGTGGAACAGATACGCCTGACTCCTACAAGAACCTCTAAGCAACAGTTAGTCTACAGGGATTAGATTTAGCCCCGACGGAAGGAAGTAATCCACTGTCCACTATACAAAGGAAAAGGTCCAACATCAAGTGAAGAAACGAGAAAACGAATTGAATATTCCTTTACAGCAAACTTCCTTCACGAGGAGCACGACAGCCAAACACTTTAAGGAGTTCTTTTCTGTGCTCGACAAAATCTACGGAATAATTCTACCTGTGCAGCATGTATACGCATAAAGAGACGAAAAACCTTACCACCAGAGATACTAGAAAAAACATAGGTCAAGGCTGAGGTCTCAAGTCTCCTGAATGATTTCTGTAGATGAGATAAACGTCAGTGATGAAAGGGGATAAAAAAGAATAGAAAACTTACTTCGTTAACGTAATTGTAGATACATGGATAACAGAACACGTAACCGGAGACTGCAACCATAGCTGGGTTGGTCCTCTTCTCCAAGCATAAAGGACAACATGTCCGATCTCCGGGTAGCGGTATGCCATCTTTGGCTACCTTCAAATCACACATAAAGCAGAAATCATATCACTTCCTCAAACATTATGGGTACTGTCAAGTTACGGTCCATCTAATGTAAAATCTCTTCAAATTTCATATCATCTAACAGTGTTCAACAATCTTAAGCCCCAGCTAGAAACCTGTTCATGCTTCTCAAAGGAGGTAGGACAATTACAGATGGATACCTTTGGAGGCGGGGGCGGAGGTGGTGGAGGATACACAGTCGGGCTTGTCAATCTCTGTTCAGCTGATTGGTACCACCATTCCACCATCTGAGATAGGGCAATTGAGCAACTCACACGTTAGCAACTGGTTGCTTAAAACCATGAAATGAGCTTACAAACTACAGTCCAGAGAAAGAGATCTCTTCTCAAGGTAACGAAACAGAAACATGGTTGAGGCCCGCATTTTACCTTGAAGATAAAGACGGAAGCAATGAGTCCAGACTGTGCATAATCAAGGAATCCATAGGCTGTGCGAAGAAGACCGCGCTGTACTGTCTGTGAATCAACGAAAAAACACAAGACTGAGCGGGGGTGCTTAGCATTATAGAGAGCACACACCAAGACATTACAAATGTCCCATATTTCAATTCAAAGACAAGGTGCTTCAATGCTAATGATGTATTACAGGGTTGGACAACATCGTCCTCAATTTCCGTTTAAAACTGCTCTTACGAGCCATATTCTCATATCCGTGGCATGTACAATGCATAGCATCATGATGTCAACTGAGACACACCTGGAGTATACGAGGTCCTCTAAGCCTTTCGAACTCCCGATTTCTCCTCTCCACTATTTGCTTTGACGCATCCATCTGGAAAACCAATTGTCAACGCGCTAAGTTTCAATCAAGGAGCTGAAAAGATAAAACATACGAAGGAAATATTGCACCATGCTCAGCGAATAAGAAGGACATCATGGCCCTACAGAGCGCTGTACAGGACAACTACTTCGCTCACTTGGTCGTCAAAAAGGGCGAGGGAAAAATGATTGTGAAGTATTCGTGCGGCAAAGGGAAACTTGCGATCCTCAATGAACATAACGACGGGGACGGGTTTTTCTGAACTAACAGAGGCTGATTTTGATACTGGCGCTAGGTCATGACTGCAAGGAATGTCCAACGGATATAAGGGACACAAATGTGAACAGATTATGGAACACGGATCATGCATGTTCAATACACCCTTTCCCATGAGCTTGCTGTGCTGCAAGTGATCCCACTTACCAGTTCTTGACCTGAAGCTCGACTCACTTGAATGCCTAACAAGTGTAAGCCGGGAGTGTAAAACTGCGTTGCGTCCAGCAGATACAAGAGTTGATAAGCAAATGCCAAGCCTGAAAAAGAACCGAGGCATAATAAGACAACCTACATTACACAAGCATTCTTCACCTCGAGTGAAGCATATTGATGTGCAGCTCCTTACATATTGCTAAAAGATAGAAAGCAATTCAGCCTCAAAGTCTCTAATAAGCCACCAGTCTTCCACAGGATTGGAATCCTCTGGCCATACCAGTTTGGAACATGAGCTGGCCTACGACAACTGGAGAAAACAACCGAATTTGGACAGAAAGGAGTACGCAGAATATGGCTGATCCATCCTGCTCTCAAAACGCTGGGACTTTAAGCGGGGCAGCGAGGAAGTTCTAGAGTTCAGTGCATTACAGTCAGTAATTGAGTCGATATACAGACCTTCATGAGAAGCATGCAGCCACGGATACATCTGGACGCACAGCTTCGATATTCTGCTTTTGATGCGCTGCGTAACTGTAGCTTCCGAACCTTGTCTTTCATCTCTATTGCTTGGAGAGTCATCATTGATACTCTCAACTTCGACCCCATCAACATCCCCAGTGCCCCAAAATGCTGCTTGCAGCGCACCTCCTCTCTGGGCATTATACGCAGCCTCCATCTTAGACTTTAAATATGGCATGCCGACCTGAATGGCAGTAACAATCAGGAGAAGAGATGGTCAAATACGCTGCGCAGGTGATCATGTACCAAGTTCTTGGTTCAAAAGTATGACCGCACGCTTTTTAGACATTCTCAAGTTCACGAGGATTTTAGCATCCAAGGAGTTGAATAAACCACATAAAATTTAACAGCGGACTTAAAACACGACGACTCTCTAGCTGATACAAAATAGATGCCTTCGGTGATGATACTTAAAAAAAATATTCTGAACTTGTCCATGTTAACATAAGGTAACTGGCTAAAAGGCCACTGCGCAAACACCAAAAAAAGGTGAACGAACATAGGTCATCGAAAGCTTTGGACAACTACCAGAAACAAAACAGACAGACTTCTTTGACGCCTTGAAATGGCACCAAGTCTAGATGGTTCTGAACTGCTACGATTATTCGATATGATTTCAGTTCCGGTAGTAGGCATAGCTGATCTTCGCCGAAGTCCGTACAACGCTTCGGCAAACGATGCATCTGCATACGCAGAGAAAAATATATTACATTACTTCATCAAGCCTTGAATGACTGATACACAAACCCGCCCTGGCTGAACGGTGCTGGAAGCAACAGACTGAGGATAAACAGTAATTTGAGACGAAGAGAGAGGAGAAGGTAGAAACATTGGTTATGCGTAGAAGAGGTCTCTCCTATAATGGAATACCCTCCTCTAATTGAGAGACGTTCAAAGCTTCCAGGTCTCAACCACGAAACCATTTACAAGCTCACCCCCGCATTGAAGAAACAAAAAACTATGGAGAAGGTCAATTGAGCCAACAATTCGTAAAGTTCATTGAAACAGGAAACACTTCATGAAAGACAGGGAAATAAGGAAGAAGACGCAAAATGTAACGGGAATAAAAGCGAGATCAGTCAGGTGTATCAGGGATGAACTGGTAACAGGTGAACTTGAACTTTACCCGATATTCGAAGGCTGTGAGCTTCAAGGAACAGCATCAGCACCGCAAAAGCTTCGTCACTGTAATCTAGAACCTTGTGGAGAATTGGTCGTCTTTGGGCCATAACCTGCTCCAAAATCAAAACCTCACAAGTAAGGAACGAGAACTGGGACAGCAAGAAAGAAAATGTAGAGACTCACTAACGGGTCGCATATGGACTGAGATACCACTTCAGTATTGGCCTCGATGACAAGGGAGGTGTGATTATTGTTATGAATTTGCCTACGAACAAAAATTAAAGAAGGGAAAGCTCATGCATCTTACCCCTAAAGAATACAACAAGGCTGCCCGCAAGCTGGCTGGCAGATGTTGGGCTGCAGCCATTTCGAAGAAAGTGGGCCGAACGCCCTCACCTCCGACCTGCATCAACATTTTGACCTCCCTTCTTCGTCTCCCTGATTAAATTTCCCTCCTCTTATAGGCACACTCCTTGCTGAAAATTGAGCAGCTTCTGCGCTTGTTGCATGGGGCCCTACACCTCAGTTTACGGCCTGAATTTAACAAATTGTAAGAATCTATATATCAGCACTTCCACTATTGGTACACATTCCGTCAATCAAAACTCGAAAAGTGACCCAAAATGGTTCTAACAAGGCAGGTCCAGACAGAAGGTCAGTAGCTAAAATTCAGAGACAATCCAGTGGCCAACTGAACACGTATAATCCAAACTTTGAATTGCAATAGGGGAATTCCGTGCTCTCGGTGTAGGACCCTAAGTACTTTAAAAAAAAAGTGCACCGGGGACATTATCGTGCGCAGCGCACACATAACATAATCTACAGTCCGCCACCTCTCACCACTCGCGCCACTCCCAGGATCAACAAGAGGTGCGCTACCACAAAATCAAACCAGAGAAATCTAGACCGAGTGCCTCCGAATTATCATTCTGAGAGTCGAAGCTGTGAATGTTGGCTTAAAAGGCTATATCTACCGAAACCTCGAACGAAAGATTGAGATTCGCGGAACCGCAGCGCGAATTTCTCGCACGAAATTCGCGCTGTGGTTCTTCCAAAGATAAGTGCAACTCTTTGAGAGTACAAACATGACAGTCACTATTTGGTCAGAATTCTTATGAATTAAACATACCATCGTAGCTGCCATCGAACACGTGGATACTTAGCCGACAAATTTCTCGATCGACTCCCGAGCAGCGATTCGATCCACCCTCTGCGAGAACCGGGAGGAGACGATCGGAACCCTTCCATTCATCATCGTCGTCAGTAAACCCTCTAACCCGCTCACCTCCTCTCTATATGTTATACCGTGCAAATCTAGAACCAAATGCCAACTCTACCACATCCATGTCGCTGTCACAACATTGTTTCTAAAGAGAGGACTGATCCACGACTACGGACCTCTGGCCGAACCATTGTTAACTGATGAAACGTAGTACGAAGTAACTGCGTAGTCGATGCTTTGGAGCATCTTCGGAGGGTCGTGCTTTCAGAAGGCGACGGGCGACGGGTCGTCTCGTTCTTGTTGCTTGGTTACGAAGTGTTGTCTTAGTTGTCATCATCGTCATCATCATTGTCGTTTGGATGCCGCTTTGATCCAGCAGACTTAGCATCCGGGCTCCGTACCGCAGGTTTATCTCGTTGACACTTTCGGGGTCTCACGGGTGCATCACTGGCCGACCTCTTTTTCAGTCACTGGCTCTTGGGGAATGGTTAGCACAAACTGGAAATGGCTTCTCGGAACGTGCCGGAAAGTAAGAATTTTTGCCTTTGGTTGAGTGGTAGTGGGCATGCACATATAGTAACGGATTTTCTCCTCGCGGCCGCCCAGCCCTCTCTCTCCTTTTTGACCTTCTTGAGATGGCACAGAAATCTATCAAGTTTCAAGTTTGTTTTCACATTTAGCCTTCTTATATGTGAAAGAAGAGTACATTATGAAAAGTGAGAATCTTCCCAAGGAGCTCCCTACTGACTCATAAAGGAGAGTTGTCTTTATAAGATTTGGATTTACAATTCTTGAGCTTTAACCTTATGATCTTTCTCCTAGAACAATAATTTAGATTCATGGTTTTCAAAATAATAAAATTACAGTCATGGTCTTCCCATTTTTCTTTCTTCACGTAAGATTACTTTTTTGAGCACTTGGTAGCGTCTATTAACATCCGATTTCCAATTCTGTCTGACGTTATCCGTTTCCAGATTCTGTAGTTACGTAATTATTTTTCAGAATGTTACTACAAAAAAAAAGAGCATGATTTGTGGTGTTCTGACAAAGGAAGAGCTGCCATCGATACACACAGTTCACTTGAGAGATGGTTTTAGTCTCATCCCCTGTTACATTGTATGTGGAAATAAATATGGCTTTGGAGTGGGAAATATTACATAGGTTGTAAGTTGGATCCAAATCGACGTAAATTCTGTAATAAATATTACGAAATATTACACCTTCCCCATTTTAAATTTTTAAAATTACATTACAGCTGTGTTGTTGTTCGTCCTTTTGTATAACTTACATCCGTGAGAAATGTGAACAAAAATTGATATATACGCTAGCTTCTCCATCGTTTTATGTAAGTGTCCACATGATAGAATCAACTCGTCTCACTTTCCGAGACGTTCTATCAAAATGGGGCTAGCACCTCGTAACCAATTTCGCTTCATCCCTCAAGACTTGATGATGGGGTCTTTCCATCTTTTTGCCATATCACTTGTCCATTTCTATTACTAGCTCATCCGGATTCAACTGAGAATGCTTTGTCCTATGAGTTTTGTCGGAATGCATCCATCAATGTAATGATTTGCCTTGGAATTTTGACCAGATTTGCATATTTTATTTTTGCGAGTTATTGTTGAGGAGAATTGAGTTATTCGCATGCCAAACCTCCTGTCGGGAAGATCCCAGCCGAGGGCGAACTTGTCGTGCGTCACATTACGAGGTTTCACCACACCCTACCGTGTTGCAGTTGCTAGTACCTCGTAACGATAGCACTCTTCTGTGCAGTCCAGTCGGTCGTTAGCAGAAGCGACAACCATGTGGAGGCACCACGTCATGGTTCGGAAAAGCGAAGTCTCCTTCAAAGCCATTGTGCGGAGATGACACGTGAGAGTGCCAGTGGAGGGACAGAGAGACCTCCGACGTCGTACCCACCGGAGAACAGCATCCCAGCGTATGACCGCGCCAGGCCACTGCGTTGACAAAAGTACTGGCGTCGTCGAGCTCGCAGCCAGCCAGCGGCGCAGACGTACCGCGTAGAGAACGAGAAGGAGTGGGGCGAGGAAACGCACTCGGTTTACAGCTCGAAACTGGCAGGAACCCTAATGAACGTGGTCGGGGCGGGGTGGGGGGGCAGCCGTGGTACGAGGAGCACTGCGTTCTGACAGATCACCAAGTCGCTGGCAGAAGGAGACGAGTGACCCAATGGGCTGCCAAACTCGCTCGAGCCTTTGTCTGTACAGCAGCAGCGGCAGCCGGCGCCAGAGCCCAGAGCCTCGACACACGCTCCGCTTCTGACCGCGCTCGAGGCTCGCCTGAGCATCGATTTGCCACCAGGACGGACGACTCGAAGCAGCAGCAGCAGCATCAGCAGATCTGACGCCGGCGGGCCTTCGGACAATCCATCTATGTTTCTGAGTCCTCTGCGGGTTTTGAAATTCGTGGTTATTTTCACCTTCGTGTTTTTGATTTCGTGAGCCGGGGGCGCGGGCGGAATGGCGAAGGAGGGCGCGGCGTCGGCCTCGTCGTCGCCGTCGCGGGCGCGAGGCGGAGGAGGGATCATTTCGGAGTGGAGATGGTAGCCGGGGGCGATGGGGTGAGAAGGGCGTAGTTTCGGACAGGAGGTAGACAGGATTTGGTCGTGGAATTGGAATTGGAGTTGGAGTTGGCACTGGCCCTGTGGGGTGCGGATGATCCGGAGGGCGGGAGTGGCCAGCGGATGATCTCATGAGGTTGTTGAATCAGCTCCGCCAAGAAGACGACGGAGGAAAGATGGCATTTCGGATTGGTCCGCTGAATTTGAATGCGGTGGCGCAGGTGAAGTGCACAGCTGGAGTTCTCGTCCTGGGCATCGTTCTGTCATTGGGCGTGCTCGTGAGGGTTTTTGTGTTCGGAGTGTCGCCCCTCGTAGTGTGAATTTTCTCGGCAGTGGCTCTTTCCATCCGGATTTGTTATAGGGGTGTATCGATTTCGTGTTCGAGAAGCGTAGTCTTTTTAGTGAGGTCTGCGTGAGGCGAATTTTCCTGCTCTAGCTGTTGTTAGATGGACGACATCTTGGTCTTTCAGCTTGTAGACCAGCTGGACGAATGAATTGTTCAGAGACGTACGAAAGCTTCCGTCGATGGAGTTCTCTTAGCCGAGGATTGACAGGCTGGAAATAGGTTCATATGTGCGCGGGATGCCTTCATCTCTCTGGATCCCGGTTCTAATCTACATGTGACTTTAGCTCTCGCGTGATGACGTCATTCTTTGACCATGTGAACTTCCAGGGGGTTGGTGGTCTTGTATTCGGAAGTGGTGACAGGTCTTCACGGCAGGATGACAGGTGACAACATCGCCCATTTAATTGTTGATGTGTCATCGGACTGTTTTGTCCTTTAAATAAACCGGGGCACCAGTGGCCGTTGATATCACTTGGGGGCTAGAAGGTGTTCTCTTATGATTCATATTTCAGTCATTGGCTTGGAGTAAAAAGAAGCTATTTTGATAGTTATGTTGAAGAAAAGTTTAGGAAGAATTTATGGACTACACTAGCTCTGGCCTTTTCGGAAATGTTGCATATCTAATTCTGGAACCGTTATCATTTAAATTCCGTTGTGGATAGCCGGAGAATATTGAGAGGATTATGTTGCCTTCCTGGGTTTGTTGAAAATTCCTTGCAGTGGAGTAGAAAGGCTACTCGAACGAATACAACATGGGGTTCTCGCTGATGACCGAAGGGCAGCAATGTCGGAGCTTCAAATTGTTGTTGCTGAGGATCGAGCTGCGAAAATGGCCTTTGGATCAATGGGTAGGACGTTTGGAAACACTTACTAATGTTGTCGGAAAAGTTGAATCAAAAGTTATAAGAGAAAAAAATAACACTTCCAGCTGGTATTTTGTGCTACTTTGATCTCGACTGTCGTTTCTTCGTAGCACATCTTTCCAACCGGGCACATCTTCTCACGAAAGTTTTGATGCTTGCGAACTCCAGGATTTCCTATCATCATGAGTATTTTCAGAGACGAGCGAGAAGACATATACATGGTATGTGCCCCTCTCGCCTCTCGTATCATTTACGTGGATCCTCAACCTCCCATTGTGAAATGTTCGCTGTAGAATTCGGAGCAAAGTGCCAGGCTGCAAGATTGGATGAAATGATTGGTTTACTTGGAAATTGGGGGTCTTTGTCTCATTGATTATCAGTATGTAAAGAAGTATACTCGCCAGCTACAAATTTATGTTGAGGCGTTTTTCAACAGAGCTACGGGAAAACCTGGTCAAGCTCAGCGTACTAGACAGGAGGGCATGCACTCACAGTAGTTTCGCGAATCAATTGCTTCATCGACCAAATTTTTCAATGGTTTCTAATTGAAACCTGGTTGTTACACTGCAGATCCGAGGGGCGCTAGAGACTCTTCTTGCTTCAGTGACATCAGAGGGGCCAGTCAACGAGGAACAACATGGAGTCGTTCCTCACGTGGTTAATACTGAGGTGTTTGCAACAGAAGATGGAAGTGTAGGCATGCTTTTGAGTCTTCTGGTTAGTGCCTGTGCCCGTCTGCTTTTTACTTTTCAATGAAGTTCCAGACAAACTTTTGACTCTGTCCCACAATTCTTGGATATGAGAACTTTGTGGTCCAGTTGGGTTCATAAAGTAGTTCCAATTTTTCTTTTGCTCACCAGGACCTTTTTGAGAGCAGGATCGTTCGGACCATCTTCATTGCAAAAAATCTAAGCTTTCCTTAAATAAACCTAACTTTTCAGCATTGAGCAATTCAGCTTGTGTTACTGTTCATTTTTTTTGTTCTGAAGTAAGTACTAGAAGGTTTGTTGCCGAAACTGTTAGCATATCACCGAAGCATTGTGTGTTTTGATATTAGGACGAGGGCGATTTCTACGTTCGCTACTACACTCTACAGATTTTGACAGCGCTGCTTACTCATTGCGCAGGCAGGTGTGTGAGCTACCGCTATGTCCATGTCCGGTCAAGATAGTTTGGCTTCTTTAGACAAAGGTTTCTGAAAATATGAAGAGTGTTATTGCATTTGTTTTTCATTCTCAGATTTTTATTTATAAATACCCGAGAAATAGGAAAAAGTCGAGACACCTCAGCTTTCATTTTTTGTATATATGAGTTTAGTTATTCTGGTTGAATTCATGCATATGGATACGAGAGGCTTTTGGATTGGTTACTTATTTAGCCAGTTGTTTTGCTTTTCTTTGATGTGGGTTTCTATGGCTGGGCTTTTGTGGTCAAAATTTGAAGGCTGCAGGAAGTGATTTTATCCACTCCTCACGGAATCACCCGTCTCATGGATATGATGCAAGAGCGTGAGGTTAGCAATGACCTGCCTTTACATGCCCCACAAGGATGTCATTTTCCTTCTTGTTGTATCTTAGGTGTGACGTTTTTTATTTGAAGGACTTAAATTAAATTACGTTCGTAAGTATAACACTTCTAGTCATCAAACTAAGTCTCCTTTTTGGTGTTTCAAAACAACACGCATATGAATTGCTTTCAGTAAGACGGACAGAATTCGATCTTCTCTTTGTAAAGAAATCAGCCGTGCTAAATGCGCTGTGAGCTTTCTTGTGATAAGGGTTTGCCGTCTTTCAATCGGTCAGCAAATCTACTGCGTATTCTTTTGTAATGGAGGAGAGCAGGTTAATAACCACAATTGCAGTTCACCACGCTAATTTGTCCTCACCACTCACAATGTTGCCTGTCGCAGGTCATTCGAAACGAGGCTTTGTTGCTTCTCACCTATCTAACGCGGGCAGCTGAGGTATGACCTTTAACCATCAGGTGGAGCCTTCTTGCACGTGCTTCTCTAGAAATTGGCAATGGAGTTTTAGCTAGGTTCTTGACTTCTTGCAGACAAAGTCAGTGCTTTGTCTGCATTATTCTTGAGTTGTTTGGAATTGACCCGAGTCTGAACCTCGGCAGCTTTTGTAACGCGTCATGATGAAATAATTGGCCTTGAAATTGTATGAACGTGGCAAATCTGTCGAGCTCGTTTAGCTTTTACTGTACGGGTTTGTGACAATGTGTTTGTGACATTAATATTGGCAGAAGACTGGGTCGGTGATAGGTCGTGGTCATGTAGGATAGCTTGAGGTAATGCACTTCTTGAGTCTATTCACCTTCGGCTTCTACTGGAAGAAGGTAGCAAGTGTACTCCTTGCTGTACGTAGAAATACACCTGACGTGTTTACTAATCATATGGTCAAATGATAAGTTCAGGAGATCCAGAAGATTGTTGTTTTCGAAGGTGCGTTTGAGAGACTCTTCGCAATCATAGCTGAAGAGGGTGGTTCAGAAGGCGGAATTATCGTCCAGGTGATTTTAAACTACTGATTCCGGTCGAGTGGAATCTCGACATATCGACTTATGCTACCATTATACGCTGTTTTCCTTTTTGCAGCACATTCGTGTGGTATGTTTCGAGGATTGCGTGTTAATATGTAACCATATAGACCTCGACTTTACAAAATTCTCATGTCAACTACTTTTGTCTTGTCCAGGATTGTCTAGAACTCCTCAATAACCTCTTGAGAAACAACTCCTCAAATCAGGTAAACTCGTGTCTTATATCAGACGTTTTCTTCTTGGAACAGCTGGTGCCTCTGGTGGATCTACACCTATGAAGTTTTTTCTAATAGTTTTGTAGAACTAGGTCAAAGTTTTCAAATTCGGTGTACATTATAATGTGTCTAAGGTATGGGCGGCTAAACGCCGTTTATTGTTAGCGCAGATATTTTTAAGAGAAACATACGGTCTACAGCAGATAGTTCTTCTTCTCAGATTACGTAAAGGAAGTGCCGATGGGTTCACTGAGCAGAAGGTAAAATTCCTCCTTACTATATGCAGACAGTTGTTTCCGTGGTGCCGCTCTTGTTCTTGAACGATTCGCCGGAGATCACTGATTTCTCCTTATTCCGGGACTTGTAGATTACAAGATGAACTGTACAAGTCCTGTTTTTGTGTTAAGATGTGGTAGCTGTGCTGCACGCCTTGTTTTAGTTTTGATCTTGGGAGAAATGATGAAAATGCCTAACTTCGTCTGTACCTTGGCAGTCTGTGAATATGCTTTGCGCTCTCGAAACTGTGGCCTTGCTGTTGGCTGGGAGCACGAATACTGTGCCCGGAAAGGATCCAAATGTGGTTGCGAATCAGACTGTTTTGGGACAGGTAAACCTTTTGAAAATCCTGAAGCCAAGAGATCTGAGTAGCTACGCACCTCTATGTTGATGTTGACACATTGCATGTCAGTATCGTGTATACCATGAACACACGAACAAACCTTCTGTTTCAATGTGTTTTGCACTTAAAAATTAACTGCTTGTACCAGGTGTTCTTCTAATACTTCAAAGGGAGAAGAGAATCTGTCAGAAATGCTGAAAGCAAATAGGTTGATTAACAGTTTTTGCTGAAAGTACGGGATGTATAGTATGCGAAAGCTCTTCATGCACGATTAGTGTTAAAGATGGAGTACTTTGATAGGGCGCCCATTTGGCTGAATCTGAACTTTACGTACTTCTTTTCCATGCCAAGCCCCAGCGGTTTATCATGCACTACTTACTTTCCATGCATATATATGTACGGATAAGTGCTCCTCGATGCAAGTTAGTCGCATTTCTGGGAATCAGTTTTGTAAGTTTTTCTCATCAAACCTCTTGTTTTGTTACAGAACAAGTTACTGGATACTCTACTTTCTCTGTGTGTCGAAGGGCGGGTATCAGCCGTGGCCATTCGATGCTCGGTGGGTTTTGAACTCTTGCTCGGGTGGTTGATTTATTTGTGCAGTTCTATATTAGAGTCACCATGGAATATAGTCCGTAGCTTCCTAGATACTTGTTCTTGGAAGCAAGCATGGAATAATGACCTTTGGTATATATTGTGCAACAGTCTTCCAAGACTTTGGTGAAGTCGCGAGGAGATATTCTCGCTTGCCTATATTTTAGTTGTTCCATTCGATCGGTTTGACGTGAATTTCACTTGTTATTTGACAGGGTACAGTTGTGGTTTCTCTTCTTTTGCAGGCATTAAGATGCATCGGAGATCTTGTGGTTGCTCATCCCAAAAACAGAGAACTTCTTGGGAGCAAGATTGTCGGGGAGGAGCCTGATTCTGAACCTGCTCTTCATTGTATACTCAGAGTTCTTCTTCGCACTTCCAATCTCAACGAATGTATTGCTGCTGACTACGTTTTCAAATGTTTTTGTGAGGTACCCTGGAGTTATAACTTTCAAGCTCTTGCACAATTTTTTGATTTCATGATTGACATCTGAAGTGAAAATTTAGGTGCTTGATGCTCAAGGTCATGAAGTCTCTTTCAGTGTGTGCATTTAGCTGCTACTATCAATCTCCATTGTCTCTTCTTATAGACTGTATTCGACGAAGTACGAAGTCTGAAACTTGATCTTGTCAATGCAGGGAAATCCAGAGGGCCAAACCATGCTGGCTTCCACAATAACTCCTCTACCTCATTCAAGCTCTAGAGGCAATTGGTCGTCTGAAGATGATCGCAATATTTCGTTCGGGAGGTAATTACGACGATCCTGTGATGATCGATACAATTACTAGGTAGCGGCTGATCACTGTGTTCTTAGTCTATTATAAACCTCCTCTCACCGCTCAGCCAGGATTCGGGGTCTAAGGGCTAATACTGGGAAGTAGTGATGAGTTTGGTTGTAAATCTCCTGCGATTTATTCAAGTGCAATAAACGTGCACGTGGTGGGAGACTACTAATGTTCACATTCTTCAACTTGGTGTCTTTCCGCAGTATGCTTGTCCGAGCATTAATCTCAAGTGATGGGCGAAATGATCTTGAGGTAAGTATTGTAGTTTGAACGTTGTTTCAGTTGTATCAGTCATATTACAAAATGAATGGTTGTCAGGAGTTCATCAAAGAACTTGACTTGAGTTCATCTGCAGGCAAGTTGCAGGGCAGCAAGTGTACTGGCTCATATATTGAAGGACAACGTACCATGCAAAGAAAGAGTACGTAACTTCTTTAAATGCAGCTTTTGGATATGTGGATGATACAACCTTTGAGGTTGAGAACTGTATAAGGATTGAAATCAAGAACGAGAATGGTGAATTTGAAAGTAATTGCCTGTGTAGGTTCTGCGGATACCCCTCGAGATACCATCTTCAGCTTTAGCTCCAGCGGAACTTTTGATGCCCCGGTGTATGCGTTATCTTGCCGCCGCAGCACCTTCATCGGCAGATAAGCTTCGTAACACGAACGGTGCTTCTCAAGATGGTTCTATATGGCTTCAACCTGTTCTTTTGCGACTTTTAGTAACATGGTTAACGGATTGCCCACCAGCTGTTGCTGCCCTTTTGGAACCTGCTGCACATCTCCCTTTCTTGGTCGAGCTTAGCTCAAGCAGTGGATCACCTGCTAGCGTACATGTAGCAGGTTTGGCTGCTGTCTTGTTGGGTGAGTGCATTATATACAACCCAACAAAACAAGGTCCAAAGGATGCCGCCGTGATCGTCGACGTAATCAACGAAAGAATTGGTTTAACTGCATACTTCTCCAAGTGGGAAGAAATGCAAAGAACTGGACTGTTTACCTCAGCTGCGACGTCCTCTCGACTTCCAAAACCATTAACCAGGTCCACAGCGGCTGCTGCAGCCGCCGGTGATGGTCTTGCTACAATTGCCCCTGATAGACAACAACAATTGTCAAGCTTCCAGGAAAGCACAAATGAAGGGGAACCTGCTGTAACGACATTTTATGATTCTGAGTTCGTTGCTTTTATAAGAAGACTCGAGCCAGTAGTAAGAGAGCAGATTGTCGAGGTCTTTGCTCACCCCAGAAGTCGGGCTTCTGTTGAGTTAATAGGCTTTGAACCTAAAGAAGGTGAAAAAGAAAGTGACTACATCCTTCGCCTTCGAACGATGCTCCAAAATCAAGCTCAAGAAATGCAGGTATTCCTTCTCGTCATATTTTCTTTTTGGTTCAATCATGTCTGTTTGCAACTGTCTATGCATCCTATTTGTAAACAGGTAACTGAAGGCAGTGGGGAGTTGTTGGAGATCATCAGAGTCATTTTGCCATTGGCTGTGTTAAAAAAATAAGAATCCAGAAATTTGAATTCAGGCATGTTTTTCCTGTTATTTTTAGGATTTGGTGGACAGGAACGCAGCTTTAGCGGAAGATCTGCTTGTGAATGGACGTGGCAAGGATGATACATCTGCGTCCGAAGATGGGTTACCATCTAACCAAGCCAAACGTCCACAAGTATATCTAGCCTCAAAAGCAGAGACGGATTCTTTGAGGCAACGATTGGAAGCACTTATGTCGGAAAGGGAAGGATTGTTGTCAGAGATTCAACACCACAAATCACTAGTTAGTAAAGTGACTAGCGACCTACAAGGGTTATCAGAAGCCTACAACAGTTTGGAACAGAACAACGAACGTCTTGAGAAGGAGGTAGATGACCTTCGTAAGATTGTAGCATCTGGTTCCACTGGTTCTTCTACACCTGAACAACTGGCTGCAGCTCGAGAGCAAGGCCGCGAAGAGGCCCTGAAGGAGAGTGAAGGAGAGATGGATGATCTCCTCGAGTTGCTTGGTCAAGAGGAGAGTAAAGTCGAGAAACTCCGAGCTCGCCTAGAAGAGCTCGGGGAGGATGTTGACGCTTTGCTTGAAGGGGTCGGAGAAGCGAAAGGTGATTTGGACGGCGACAAAGACTAAGCTTCGAACATGATACACCAGTGACCTACTGTAGCTTTTGTCGCCCCAGGAAGCGAGTGTACGCATCCCAAGGAGTCAGCCGGAGTTCTGTTGGTAATTCATTCCAATGGTCTATCTTCACAATATGCAATAGGGGGAATGTCGAACATCTTCATCGAGTCAGGAATTGATCAAACGTCTTGCTGTTCCTGTTCACCATATCCGGTACCTTTAGAATGTGGCCAAAGTTGTTTATGAGTGTAAAGTCTTAGAATCAGTCTTGTGTGCTGTAAAATGACTTGTGAATAACAGACTCCTGAATGACGGAGTTGCAGTTAACCAGCAGCCCTTGCAGGGGCCTTCTGACCAATTCTTTGAGGGCCCATTTACATGTAGTGGTTTCAGTTGTCTTAGGGATCTGGATAGCATCATAGGTAGCCACTCTCTGTAGAATGGCTTTTGAGTAGGGGTAGTGGTAACTGCTACTTATTCATGCCACTGAGTTAGAATATAGCCCGTTCTCAGGCTGTGGAGCAGCCGTCATTCAGCTCGGAGCTTTGAGGTGTATCCTACTTTCTTCATGACACTGAGTGTGGCCTGTTTGCGAACTCACCAGGCTCAGATGTGATGGATCTCGCATACCAAAGTTATCCTCATAGAAAGCCAGCTTCCAATGAAGAACCTGAATTCCTCTACGCAGCTATGTTACCTCTTGACCCCACACAATCAAATATCTGGGTCGCAGTATATAATAGTCGCATGTTATTTGAACGTCGTGCACCTTCGCATTTTTGTACTCGACGCATATCTTTGCAGCACAACCTCGCAAAGTAACTGGGATGTAAAACTTGGGACCTCAGTAGAATAGACGTCATTATGCCGGAGAGACATGATCAAATGTGAAACTTGAGAAGTGCAGCACCAAAGACAGCAGCGAAAGGGCAAATGAAGAAGTACGAGACCCGGCGAAAGCTTAAAACACCGCCTGTACGTCGATGTTTGTGGGCAGGAAGCATCAGCTTGAAGGAGAAAAATCAGTTGTCACACGCGTTGTGACTCAAGACTTCATTTAATTTGAACGAAAACTGTCCAATATTTGTCCTCACATATAGATCAAATTGATTGTAATCCCAATACTTGTTCTCTACTCGATTCCACGCAAGTTGCGAGGTAATCTCCTGACACACTCCATGACACACCAGGTATTTTAACCAAGCTAACTTGTTTTCGGACTGCTTAACTAGGTCACATTTACTGATGTGAAATTTGACATGCCCAGCAGTAGGGAAAGTAAAATTGTGTGTATACGTCATCTTCTTAGCTGTCTTAGAAGGAAAAGTAAGTACAGTAAACATTCGTTTAAGTCCGCAACTTGATCCGGGAGGTCTGGTGCGGACTTAAGTGAGATGCGGACTTAACTCCTCTCAACCTCCGTGCGTCAGTTCGTTTCTTTCTTCCTCCCATCCTGCCTTCGGTTTCCATCTCCCACGCAGGAACCTCAAGCCGAAATTGAAGAAGCCGAATCAACCCCGCTGGTACAGGTTTGCTTCTGCTCGTTTCTCCTTCCTTTCTCCCTCCTACTGGCGTGGCCTCCGCTCTGCTGCGAGCAGGGGTTTAGATCGTCTCTTAGTGAGGAGGTAGAGGGGCGTCAGCACACTCACTCACTGACTTCATAATGCTCTGCACTTGCTTCGGCAATAGGCAGGTGGTTTTGTGGGTGATGACATCAGCTTCTACTTTGCTCAAGGAGATTTGGAGCATTTGCATCGCAGTCAAGTGAGATTTGAGTTCATTCAATGTAAGATCCGCGATAGCTCTAGAGCGAATTGAAAATAGTGGCCAAATGACTATTTGATTTTCTGTAAAATACACTCTTGAGAATTGAATTGAGTGCGGACTTAACCGAATGTTTACTGTACAGAAGAAAGCATAGCGAGAACGCCAAGGGAACTTCTTGGAATTTCATTTGGTATAGTCAGGCCAATGCATGTAAACTTATACTGGTAACTGTACTGATTTAATTTCCCCTAAAATTTATCAGACATAACGCATGACGGTGTGAGTAAAGGCGATTCCCCAAGGGTCTACGTATGAAGGGCCCCGACCGTCATAGAGTCGGGGGTTGATCTAGCCACAAGTTTAATAAGGGCTGGGATCTTTTGCGGGAATATTTAAGAATGATATATTTCTTCCAGTATGCAAGTCACTTCAGACGGTTTGCTGAAGAAGGCGGAATGATCGCTGTCTATTTTAAAGTGTCGTTCAGGTGGATTTGCTTTCACAATCCCTTCCTGAAAGGCGGCCGGAGAAGTATTGTCATTCAATGTCTGGATGTAGAATCGTCTGACAGAACCGTATCTCTCTGGGGTGAAATTAAAAACTCCCACCAACGGTGTTAGGGGCTGCGGACTCAGCAGCGACAAAGCCAGAGTGACATCCTGCAAGTCCGAGAGGTAAAATGTCAACAAGATTGAACATTCAAAACGTGAATGCACTCACTTCATACAGCCCAGAATCACGACGAGACTGTTTCGCTCGACTGAGGCTGGAGCCGATACAGAGAACGGTTGAAGGAAATGTGAAAACTCTCGGATGGCAGGAAAGATGTCAGTTGATGATCGTACCCTCTTGGGACTCTGGTTGTAGTATCGTTGACGGGCATAATCCGGCTTGAAAAGAATCGAAGTGGGTGGAGCTGATGGCCCATTAGCATAAGTGAAATCCGCTACGCTACTCATGTTTGGCGATGCTTCAGGCCAAAGTACAACTCGTCAGTCGTGCGAACCACCACAGTCACTAGAGTGCGCAAACAAGACGACATTCCACGTCCAAGAGCAAAATGAATTACAGTCATGACGTACCGTAGGTTGTAGAGTTCAAAATTCCGAAGGCAGGCATATTTGCTACTAGAAACACGCCCTTTTCTATCTTCTCGGGCATTAGTTCCATAATATAGCCCAGCACAGTACCAGCTGCGCTATGGCCGACGAGTATCACCTGCGGATCAAACATAATTATTCTTTTAAGATCGAATAATGTTCATCATTCAAGTTATAGGAGAGATACAAACGGAAAATTGATCATGAAATCCTACATGTTACTGGTCACTGACCTTGGAACTGGCATTTGTAATGTGGTCCACCGCAGGCTTTACATATTGGACCATGGAGGTGACGGAGTCAGCAGAGACCTTGCTCCTGCCCAGTGACGTTAAGTCGACGGCAGTGACCTTGTAGCCTTTGGTTTCGAGCATCGTGACCACCTTGTACCAACACCACGCTCCGTGAGATGCACCATGTACCAGCACAAATTCGTTCGCTCCATTGCTTCTTCTTTCTACAGAGGTCTGCACACATGAGAGTCCAGGGAATCGCTTCTACAGATCACTGACTGAGAAAAACTGATGCGAATCAAATGTCTTACAAATTTCAGAGACTAACGAGTGTGGACTGCATAATATAAGAATGTACACTTGCAACTAGAATTTTACCAGCAATCTCACGCTTTGAAGAACTTCCGCATCATCGGCAGACACATCCTGCACGAGACTGGCAAGCGACCAAGGAGCCAAGACCACCAATGTTGCAATGAAAACTACAAGAAACTTCATCTTCATACGATTGTAGCAAAATCCTTCTTCGCTCGGGTTTTGTTTGCCTCCATAGCCGTCCCAGATGTCCTTTCAAAAGTGACGGACTTCGTGCTACATGCAAAGTGCAAGCGTTACACATGGACCTCACCTTGTACACGTTAAGTGCTGCGCTGCTGATCGAATAAATGAGAAGGAGACAAATGAGAATGTCTATTCCTGTCGACGACTGACCTCTTGCCAGGTGACACGTGGATCCGCCCACGTTTGCGTGGATTTATAACGCATCGTAGGTACTATCTTGAACGCGGACTTACGAGTGATGAAGACTTGTGGCTAAATCAACCCCGACCCTATGACGGCCGAGGCCCTTCATACGTAGACCCATGGGGAATCGCCGTTACGCACACCGTCATGCGTTATGTCTGCTAAATCAGTCCCTAAAGTTGACGGGGGTGAACTAGAGGAGGAGGAGCTGCAGGATGTCCAAATGCCGTGATTGTTTAGGTGTTATACCAAATCATAAACTTTAGAGACTGATTTAGCGGTACCAAACGGTGTGCATAACGGTGACACACGACGGTGACCGTATGCCGTCATCCCGGAGGAATACGGTCGGGGTTGATCTAGCCTGCAAAAGACTTTTGGCTAGATCAACCCTGACCCTTTGACGGCGGGGGCCTTCATACGTAGACCGTTGGGGAATCGCCGTTACGCACACCGTCATGCGTTATGTCTACTAAATCAGTCCCTAAAGTTGACGGGTGAACTAGAGGAGGAGGAGCCGACCCTCTGGGCATTCCCGCCTCTTCACTCTCTTCAAACCTCTCTATTCTTGGAGAAATTTGTTTCATAGGAACCCATCAGAACGCTGACTGTTTGATGGGACACTTCCCACGGCAGTTCAGCCCGATGTTCTACTGCGAGTTCTTGTAATTGCTTCCAATAGAGGTTAGGAAAAGCACTGCTGCTCTTTGCTGAAAAGTGACTTCTCCCCGCAGGCACTTCACGGACCAAAATACGTGACTTCGGCCAAGAGTTTTAGAAAAAAAGTAACGAGTAAGTAGATTACGCCCATGAATTATAACTGGGACGTGAGAAATTGGGCTCTTACACGATGAAGATCGGGAGCCATGGGAAATCTGACTTATTTAAATTAGTGAAGAAATTAATTGTTTCATTGAAGTGGAAACAAAGCAATTACAAGAACATAACTGACGGTGACCCGTCAGAGGGGTCCATCTGGTAAAATGAAACATATTTGGTCCCATCAAGCAGTCAGCGTTCTGACGGGGACCCATCAAGCAAATTTCTACTCTTCTTGTTGTGTGCTAATTTTTTTTCAGCTCAGGAGTTCGCAAATCGAAGTGGACGGATCCTATATCGCAGTGGAGGTAATTCTATAAGACATTGCAGCATGCTTTTGACTAGGACTCATGATCGATTTTGGAGGTAGCTATGTTATCTTTGCTTAATCGTAGGATCCACGGTGTTGTAAAGCATGTTGTGATTACTACAAACTCATTTCGATAATCAAAAGTGCAAATTTTCCGGTATCGCGGACATCTCTTGACGAATGTTATGTAGTTGAGCACGTCTAGATACGAGTATGGTGTGGCGCAGTTGCATGGCTGGAACACCTTGGTTGTTTCTTCTATGTTATCCAACTTGCTTGTAATTGAAGTGTACTTGGGAAGGAGAATTACTGCAATGAGGTCACAAAACTTGTGCACGCTGCTTGTGATCTGTATATGGTCAGGAATAAGAGTCATCTTTTTGCATGTTTGGAAGTGATGGATTATGAAGATGGGCTTTGAAGAGTGCAAGGTAATGCTCGAGCTCCAGCTCCTGGATCGATAGGTTCATCTCCCACTCTCGAGGCCATTCTAGCGATCGAAAACGGCTCTTATTTTCAGTAGAGGCAACTCGCGTGCGACAGGAAAAAAATTCTTGATTTCGATTTGACTTTCGATTCAACTTTTGATTTTTTGTCTCCGCTTGAAGTTCAGCGATCCTCAAACCCGGACCGAACACGGTTTCAATTGGATTGTGGTCAATATGAAGTGTACGAGGAGTAGATGAAGATGAAGATGGTTGAGTTGACCTCACTCACTCACTTGGCCGTTCATGGTTCAAGATTATTACCGATGCCCAGTTCCTTTCTCCTTCAGTCGATCGGTACTAAAAGATGAATGAGCGGGAGGACGCATTGTGCTCTTGTCTCGATTTTGCCACTATGAAACTCATGAAACAGGAATCATCAGTACTTCTTTCAACTTAGAGACATGTCTGAGTTAAGTTTTGGTGTGACGGAGGTCTTGCTCAATGTGCATGGGTGAGACTTTACAGCGGGACCCAAAAGGTATACAAAAATGGTAGATGAAGCACAACTTCAGTGCCGGACTCTGAAGTCAGGAAGGGAGTCTTCGATCTTAGAGTTGTGTGACTAGCGACTGCATTTGAGAGGAGTGAGTGACATTTTAACCGAGCTCCATGTACACTGCGTGTAGCCGGATCATCGTGTGGCGAATGGGACTCATCTTCTGCCTTTCCCCTCCGCCACCAGCGACGGAGACTCGTGCACGCATTGCGCTAAACCATCGGATGAAACATAGTCCGGAGTGGGCAAATCGCGAGTCAGCAATGGGGTGGTTGGAACGCTGGCCAGTCTCGAAGAAATTCAGAACGCTCAGGAAACCTCTGCAAAGAAATCCAAGGTCATCGCGAACAAGATTGTGAGCTATGGCGGAGTGAACGTCCTCGTAGGTTTCAAAATCCTAACATGATCGTGTGACGCGTTCAAGAACATTCTTTCAAGAGGATTTTTTTGAACTATAAAACTAAGTGAACGTCCTCGTAGGTTTCAAAATCCTAACATGATCGTGTGATGCGTTCAAGAACATTCTTTCAAGAGGATTTTTTTGAACTATAAAACTAAGTGAACGTCCTCGTAGGTTTCAATATCCTAACATGATCGTGACGCGATCAAGAACAGTCTTTCAAGAGGATTTTTTTGAACTATAAAACTAAGTAAAGCCGTGAACACTTCTTAACACAACAAAAAGTAGCTTCCCCATTCATTTGTTCAAAGAAAATCATTCGAATTTGTTCAGAGGAATGGAACAGATTGAATTTTACTTTCGGATTAAAAAAAAATAAAAAATTCCCGTTACACGCTGTTGTCGAACCAGATTTTGTAACCATTCTCCACAATTCCCAGCAAACAAAACATCAAAATCACTCCAAAAGCTGAGTATCACAGTTTCACTCCACGCACTTGGTTTGAAGGGAAAGGCAAGAGGTGCGGTTATACCAAATCATCCCAAATACTATTTCCCATGCATCCAAGGTGACGTTACTATCCTTGTCTTCGAAGATCATGAAAGTATTGATTTGACGTTTTCAAAGCTGCAGGATGTCCAAAGGCCGTGATTGTTTAGTTGTTATATCAAAATCCTCTCGCAATAAACTTTATGGACTGATTTAGCGGTCTCGAACGGTGTGCATAACGGTGACACACTACGCACGTCAGGACGGTGAACGTATGCCGTCAGCCCCGAGGCGTACGGTCGGGGTTGATCTAGCCTGTAGTCTTAAACTTGTGGCTAGATCAACCCCCGACTCTATGACGGTCGGGGCCCTTCATACGTAGACCGTTGGGGAATCGTCTTTACTCACACCGTCATGCGTTATGTCTGATAAATTTTAGGGGAAATTAAATTTTAAACTTTAGGGACTTGGGTGAAGTAGAGGAGTAAGAGCCGACCCCTCTGAGCTTTCCCGCCTCTTCGCTCTCTTCAAACCTCTCTCTTCTTGTTATGAGCTAGTTTTTTCTTAGCTCAAGTTCGCAGATCCAAATGGGCGGATCCTATATCGGAGTGGAGGTAATTTTGTCAGACATTGCAGCATGCTTTTGACTAGAACTCATGATCGATTTTGGAGGTAGCAATGTTATCTTTGCTTAATAGTAGGATCCACAGTGTTGTAAAGCATGTTGTGATTACTACAAATTCATTTCGATAATCAAAAGTGCAAATTTTCCGATATCGCGGACCTTTCTTGACGAATGTTATGTAGTTGAGCACGTCTACGTAGGAGTATGGTGTGGCGCAGTTGCTTGGCTGGAACACCTTGGTTGTTTATTCTATGTTATCCAACTTGCTTGTAATCGAAGTGTACTTGGGAAGGAGAATTAATGGAATGAGGCTACAAGACTTGTGCACGCTGCTTGTGATCTGTATATGATCAGGAATAAGAGTCATCTTTTTGCATGTGTGGAAGTGATGGATTATGACGATGGGCTTTGAAGAGTGCAAGGTAATGCTCCAGCTCCAGCTTTTCCTGGATCGATAGGTTCATCTTCCACTCTCGAGGTCATTCTAGCGATCGAAAACGGCACCTATTTTCAGTGAAGGTAACTCGAGCGCAACAGGAAAAACATTCTTGATTTCGATTTGACTTTCGATTCAACTTTTGATTTTTCGTCTCCGCTTGAAGTTCAGCGATCCTCAAACCTGGACTGAACACGGTTTCAATTGGATTGTGGTCAATATGAAATGTACCGAGGAGGAGATGAAGATGAAGATGGTTGAGTTGACCTCACTCACTCACTTGGCCGTTCATGGTCCAAGATTATTACCGATGCCCAGTTCCTTTCCCCTTCGGTCGATCGGTACTAAGAGATGAATGAGCGGGAGGACGCATTGTGCTCTTCGTCTCGATTTTGCTGCTCTGAACTCATGAATCAGAATTCATCATGACTTCTTTCAGCTTGGAGACATGTCTGAGTTAAGTTTCGGTGGGACGGAGGTCTTGCCCAATGTGCATGTGTGAAACTTTACAGCGAAACCCAAAAGGTATCCTAAAACGGTAGATGAAGCACAACTTCAGTGCCGGACTCTGAAGTCAAGAAGGGAATCTTCGATCTTAGATTTGTGTGACCAGCGACTGCATTTGGGGGGAGTGAATGACATATTAACCGAGCTCCATGTACACTACGTGTAGCCGGATCATCGTGTGGGCGAATGGGACTCATCTTTTGCCTTTCCCCCTCGCCAACAGCAACGGAGACTCGTGCACGCATTGCGCTAAACCATCGGATGAAATGTAGTCCGGAGTGGGCAAATCGCGAGTCAGCAATGGGGTGATGAACGCTGACCAGTCTCGAAGAAATTCAGAACGCTAAGGAAACCTTCGCACAGAAATCCAAAGTCATCGCGGACAAGGTTGTGAGCTATGTCCTCGTAGGTTTCAAAATCCTAACATGATCGTGACGCGTTCAAGAACACTCTTTCAAGAGGATTTTTTTGAACTATAAAACTAAGGAAAGCCGTGAACATATCTTAACACAACGAATAGTAGCTTCCCCGTTCACTTGCCAAAGCGAATCATTCGAATGTGTTCGGAGGAACGGAATAGATTGAATTTTACTTTCGCACTCAAAAAAATAAAAATTCTTGTTACATGCTGTTGTCGAACCAGATTTTGTGGTCATTCTCCACAATTCCCAGCAAACAAAACATCAAAATCACTCCAAAAGCGGCATATGACAGTTTCACTCCACGCACTTGGTTTAGTGAGAGAAGAGAAGGGAAATGTAAGAGGTGTTGTTATACCAAATGCTCTCGCAATAAACTTTAGCGACTGATTTAGCGGTCTTGAACGGTGTGCATAACGGTGACACACAAAGCACGTCACGACGGTGACCGTATGCCGTCAGCCTAGAGGAATACGGTCGGGGTTGATCTAGCCTGCATTCTTCTTAACGCTATGCATGGATCTTGACTTTCTTCTTCGCATTGGTTTACTTTACATTATTTATCACTATGTATTTTAAGATGAGAAGGGGTTACTTCACATTCTTCATCACTATATATTTTAGCATGAGAAGGGAGTGCAATAAACTGATACTTGTGAACAAGAGAACTCAATTTTTTGGCCAAAGGAGGAGTGGAAGGTTTATAAAGAGATAACTAATTTAATTCGTACGTTAATCTCGCAATCTACTTTGATAGAGTAGACCATTGTACCACGTACAATTGTATGATATTCAATGATGATGTTGGCTTTGATTACGGTGTTTTAGTTGATGAATATTTCTACAATATCAGTCTCGTGAAACAAGCCTTTTTAGTAAATGTTCACATTTGATTAACTACATTTCATCAATATTTTCATTCTTGTATTTTGTGTACATGTATGTATATTCATGAAAAGCATCTAATTGGCACATTGATACATATAGTGAAAGAACGAGATGTAACAGAAACACTATTAGTTAATAAGACTTCCATGCATCATATTATGTAAGAAAAAATTAGTGTTGCATGAAGTGTATAGTTTCCACACTATTAATTTTTTTTATATAAAATAATCAAATCTTTTTCATTTTATTTTACTCATATTTTTCATTTCTGGTGCCGTAAATAAGAGTGATTAACTATAGCAGTACATATGGGCTAATGACACTCATTTTTTAATACTTAAATTTTTTAATACTATCAAAGTCAAATCATACACCGCGTTGGAAATCACAGCAAAGTTCGTGCTATCATAGGTGATCATATATTACTCACTCTCCTTGACATCTTTAAGATAAAACAAGTATAGATGTTAAAGATAGATGACTGCTTTAAACATATGTAAATATGGAAAAAAAATAACTATCCTATAACCAATATGAAGTCAATCATAATCAGTTATAACTATTAGATGATTGTTACATGCGTCATTGTAGAAAATAATTGTTTTAATTGCATTGACATCTTAAAGACATTCTGCTGTAAAATATATGTGCTTTCATTCGACAACGGAGCGGATCAAGATTCAACAACGTATGAATTGATTATTGGAGTTCAAAATAATATAAAGACGAAACATATGCGGAAATGATTTTCAATCTACAATCAAGTTTGAGTTAAATCTCAAAATTATGGGTGCAATACAGCCACAAAACATGCACTAGTGATCATGTGAAGAAATTTGTATCATAAGAATTTTACTTGATAAAAACTAATATGAATGAAATAAATTTGTTGTAAAAATATATTTGAGTAAACTAAATTGGCAACAGCTAGAGGTGAGCCAACGGCTACCAATAGGATGGTTATTAGAACACTAAGTAAACCAAGCCAACCCACATTACGCACTGACGGTGGATAATCATATTATAACTTTATATGATGAGTATGATATGTTCCAACAGAAATAGTTTTATGTTATTAATAGACATATTTATCGATTTGTTGTAAAGATTCATATTTTGGTACGGTTTTGAGAAATTTTATGTCATCACACATTAGCTATTCTTGATTTAGAGTAAAAGAAAAGTTTTCAAATTTTTGATAAAACATGGATTTTAGATGGCATAATCTTAGCATTCAAACTAAGTCATTTATTGCGAAAAAAATTATACATAACGTGAAATGTCTACATAACTAGCTTAAGAAAAATGACCTCATACTTAATGCTTTACTACCACATTAGACTTTTGGATTACTTTACAGCAAAAATGTTCAGCAATAAGTGATTTCACTAAATGCACATTGCATGATTCTAACATCGAGTGTAATAAATTTCCAAAATATAATTGGAAAATTCACCTGTAATATCACTTTTTTTGTAATTTATTTTACATTCATTTATAACAAGTACATACATTGATCCTTAAAATAACATGGCTACAAACATTATATATATTTTGAAACACAATAAATATTATATATATAATATTTACAATTTTTGTTTGTCTACGTATGGTAGTCAAACTTAGTTTATAGTCTCCTAACAAAACATACAGAATGGCACTATGCAGATTCACATTAAACAAACAAGAAATGATTTATTTTCCTCGTGCAATGGAAGATACATTACTAAATCTTCAATGAAGTCCTTGAAACTACAAATGAAAGACTAGGATATTTCACTTTAATTTATATACATTACAGGAGTTTTTTCCTATACTTCTAACACAGAAGAGATAATTTGTTACTTGAAACTTAAGAAAGTATTTCCTTGATATCTTCTTCAATTATTAATTCAATTCCAAGTCTTAATGATATTTCAGATCATCAGAATAAATTATTGATTCAAATTCTTGTAATATTGTACTGAACGTCTCTTCATCATTAGTTCTTGTAATAAAGTTTTCTGACGAACATGACCCAATTTTTTTGCGTAAATTGAGAGAATTTTTGATTCAAAAATACGTATATTTTTGTGAAGTCAAATGGAGGAACTTCTTTTCATGCTACATGTAACAATGGTTTGTTAAAGAAATAATAACGTAATGAAATACTTCACATGATCTAAACTTTAAAATTACCTTAATTCATATTTAAGCGCGAGATCTAGTTCAAACACGATGTTGTTAAAGAGGATGTTCTGCAAACTCTATTACTATGTGTTACGAGATTATAATTTGGGGTGGGTCCCAAAATTGACAAATTGATGGGACCCAATACGTTTCATTTTATTTTATTGACCCTTCAATACACCGTCAGATGTGATCTACTATGGATTCCTGTAACTGCTCTGCTTCCGATTTAGGAAAGCCATGTTGAAAAAGAACTACCTCTCGAAAGTTAAGTTTTTCCATGGTTGTCAGCACCTTGAGCTACTCAAAGCAGGGACTTCACTGACCAAAACAGGCAGAGTTTTTGAAGATAAAAGAGAGAAGTATACGTAAAGTATATAAAACCCATATCTTATAGCAGTAAATCAATCTCGGCCGTGAGAAATTGGACTCTCTTATTATGAAGATTGGAAACCATGGGAATTCTGACTAACTGAACTTGGGGGAGGATTTACTTTTTTCCAACAAACAGAAGCAATGGTGTTCCAAGCCCGGAAACTAAACAGTTACAATAACTCGTATGAGAAGATAGGTGACGGTGGAATGAAGTGCCGTAACAGGTTCCATAGCGTAAAATGAAACTTGAGTCCCATCAAGACTTCTGCGTTCTTACGGGTCCCATCAAGTAAATTTCTCGTCAAAATATACTCGATTTCAGTTCGTGTTTTCTCGTATTCCCATTTGTCTCTTTCTATACACTCCGGCTCCCCTCCCCTGAAATTCATACATGCGGGAGGGTAGACAGAGTGGAGAAATTCTGCCTCGGAAGATTAAAATATACATCTGACAAATGACGCAGGGCACGTCGTATGACTCCCAATACTCTGCCAAACCGAAGGGAACGGGGACGAAGCATATGAGTCGCCAAACACGTCTGGGAATGGGGACGGGTGAACCCTAAAAAGAGCGCCCGCTGACCGGAGTTCAGTTCAGTTGCGCGCAGTTCAGTTCAGGTAGCTCGAGGGGCTGGAGCCCTAACAGGCGGGACCGACCACGGCGCAGTCGTGGTAAACCGGGACGGCGTGAGCCCGGGAGTCCGTTAGGCTTGCGTTTCGTGGAGAAGGTTTCGCTCGAGTGTCACCATCGGACGGTCCGGAACCGACGTCGCGATCGACGGTTCGGGGCGGGTGTTGTTCGTGCTACCATATGCCGGGCAATTCGACCTAATTCTTCCTCTTCCCATCTCTCAATCCTCTGCTTCTGTTGCTGCTGCGTTACGCTGTCGCGATGGGTACGTCGGTCGATGATTCTTCGTGTTTCCTCGGTGGTTGTGGCATGTTACGATCGGCGTGTGATGTTTTTCCTGGGTAATGTCGGTTTTTATCGAAATTTCTGATTGGGTTTTTGGTCTGCCGGTGAACTTGTGCAGCTAAAATCAAAGTGCATGAATTGCGCACTAAGTCGAAGGCTGATCTCCTCAATCAAGTAAGCACTTCATTCGCGTGTCGGTGTTCCCGCCCGCGTTCTCGATTTCAGGGGTTTTCGGTGTTATCCACTCCTGGTTTTTGAATCGAAATTGACCCTGGTCGTTCCCTCGTGTGCAGTTGAAGGAGTTGAAGGCAGAGCTTGCCTTGTTGAGAGTGGCTAAGGTCACCGGTGGTGCCCCTAACAAGCTCTCTAAGATGTGAGTTTTAAATTGTCATCAAGTTTGGTCTGGGGTTTTTATTCACTTACACAAGAGGCTTTGGTCCTCGGTGTTTAGCTCAAGGCATTAATTGATGAATCTTTTCTGATGTGGACCTTCAGCAAGGTGGTGAGGCTGTCCATCGCCCAGGTGCTGACTGTCATTTCCCAGACTCAAAAGGCACACCTTCGCGAGGTTTACAGCAAGAAGCGATTCTTACCCCTTGACTTGAGGCCCAAGAAGACCCGCGCCATCAGAAAGCGCTTGACCAAGCATCAGGTAAGCCCTGTCACATTCAGGCCTTGTTTTAAATTCGAGGCTGTCATTTATTCCAGCAGATGATTGCCACTCTACGGGCGGCGTACCATTGAGAATCCTCGCTGAGCTGACGCCGAATCTGGTTGTGACGCAGATGTCTCTCAAGACCGAGAAGCAAAAGAAGAAGGAAGCCTACTTCCCTTTGAGGAAGTACGCCGTGAAGGCTTAAGTTTAATGTTCCGCGAATACGCTGAGTTGTCATGCTGAGTTCCCTTCTGACAGGATCTAGAGTCCTATACGATTTCTGCTGGATGTACATCTTGTGAATGAACATCATTGAGTTCGCTCCTCCACATTGTGTTGGACGAGTTGTACAACGTAGCCAAATGTGGTCCACCGGACACGAAGGTTACCGCTCAAACCGTTCATATCGAGAGTAAATGTACACCATCATCAGGTGATATTGCATAAGTGATACCCATTTTTTGCCGGTTCATATACATCATTATCATGAAACTGTGTTCAATTTTTTATGAATGTGCTTGTACATGCGTTCATGGCATTTTTCATTACGGAGTTCAGGGAGCTATGGAGGATGATATTGTGTGGCGTACGTTCCACTTATTCAATTTGACCGAGTTAGCGGTTGCTTGTATCGAAGAATTGTGGCCAGGGTTTTCTCATGTCTGTCCTGGGAGACACTTTTGGCGAATTTAGGTCTTTGAAGTGTGTTCATGGTTCCTTATGAATCCGAACAGAATTCAGATCTTGACTTGAGCACTGCAAGGCCCCCCGGAAATGTGAATTGAATCTGCCTTGAGGAAAGCCTCAGTAGTTTTCAGCTGGATTCTCTATAATCTTGTTCACTGTCGTCGGCAAAACTTCTCCTGTGTGTGACTCAGTGTCCTTATTTCCCTGATTGATCAGTTAATATGATCCGTCCTTTGGGTTCGGGGAGTTGGAAGTTGTGGCGTATTTTAGTAGCAACATGAACGATTTACAACGAATGACATGTCAACTCTGAGTTGAACGCCGGGAGCGCTCTGAATTACATGCCAGCTACAGTTTTTCTTGCGCTTGGGAGTAGCAAGTATGAAGTCTACACTCTTTCTTGCCCAGTTCTGTAATTAAATGTTGGTGCAGACAGGCAGATTTCCAAACTTGCAGAGGGAAAGTGGATACGCAATCGAATGACCAAGTTTATTTCCTCTTTGTACTTACAGCTTTCTGGGACAAAAGATTGGAAGAGGGTCATGTCTCGAGAGGATTAGTCCACATGGTGCGGTAGTGGCCAAATAGTGCTACATAGGTAGGAATTGTATGTACGTTGATGATCAGTAATTTTCGTTCGGGGGTTCACATATCGACAGTCTTTGCCTGTTCGCATGGGTTGCTTGGGGACGGTCCATTGCGTCATTCAAAGAGTCCAGACCGTCGCGGTAAGTCTAACCCCCTTGTGCTGCTGCGACCTGACAATGGAAATTTGAAGTGTCGAAGGTTTTGTAGTCCAATTTTGGAATAATTCTCCAAGCGCTGTCAAGTGTTGGTCCTTCTGTACATGCAAGTGGAGCCTCGCTCGGCTTGCCTCTCCGCTTAGATCTCAACACAAGTTTTTCACAGCACGGTTCAGTTCTAGAAAGATATAAGTCAACTTTTGTGACAGACGTGTGTAAAATTTTAAGCCTCACCGGTTAGTTCTTCTTATCTCAGTCGGTCGGTCGGAAGGGTGAGCTTGGGCAAACCCTTGGCTGCTATCTCCACTGCCCCCACCTCTTTTATTTTTAGCGAAGTGGTGGAGTACCTGGCTCGGGGCCTATGCGATTAGTCATTCATATGCCCGTCCCCAGGATGTCGAATTCAGTGAGTACTGCCCTAGCTGTGTGTAACGATGAATGAGGCACCTTGTTTGCTTGCTTTCCCGTCTGAATTCTTCTTCTGGCTACTCTTTCCTCTCACTGTTGCTGGTCGGTGTCAACCTGTTCTCAACATTCATGTCCTATTTCCTCGTGTTGGTCGGCAAGCAGGGGAGGGGTGACATCTTATATCTTACATCTTCCTCTTATATCTTACATTTTGCCGAATTGGGATTCGGGATTTGGGATGCTGGTACTTATCGTCAGTGTTGGGTCTGCCTTGGATCCTGAAGGGACGAAGTGTACGAATAGAAATCGGTTGTCTCGACCTTTCTCCGTCTGCGAAATTGCTGTTTGCCCTAACGCTGTTCGCATCACTGAAATCTTCCAGTGACAGTAAGCTCGAGCATTGGGTGGAATGTGTTCTACCCTAGCAGATGATATTTGTGTGTCACGAGATTGTATGGGTGGAAGATCTAAGTCTTCCTTGAAAGAATGAAGCGAGAATAGTGTATCGAACGACATCGTTGAGGTGAAAATGTCGCCTGAAATCACGTCTGGATAGTATGCGAGTCCTTCATTGGGAAGGGCCAGAAACGAGGATAGGCACGAATTGAGGAAATAGGAGAAAGATTTATAATATACTTCCAACCACGTGGAATTATTTTTTACTATGGCATGTGCATATGTCGAAATCCTAAGTTAACGCCCAGAAGAAGCAAAACGTATTGATTGCATGAGACATTCTTATGACCCCAATATCTTCTGAAGTTGACAGAGAGGTTTGCTTGATGGGACCCCTGCGGAAAACAATTCTCTTGATTTGGACCTGAAAGTTTCATTTTACCCCATGGGATTCCATGAACGAACAATGCATGTTTCGATAAAGACTTGAGGATTAGAGACTGTGACTACAGTTTCGGTAACTTCGGTCACACTGGTTTTTATTTTGTTATTCCGAATCCGACCACTCCCCCAGGTGATGAGGAAAGAAATGGTCGTCCGGAATGTAATAAGTGCTTGTCCGAAATATATTGGTGGCGAACAAACAAACACCCACTTGTTCGCTACAAATGTGTGAACGTCCAAATGATTGCTCGTCCGGAGATTATTCGTGGCGGACAAATAAACACCGACATGTTCTCCACGAATGAGATTGGAATTTTCCGGAAGGAACTTCTCGTTGCATACGCAGCAGGGATACGGAAGTAGAAGGCAGCAGAGAAATCCGCGAATCTCGTCGAATACGCAAGGTTACGGAAGTAGTAGGCAAGAACTATGGCGGACAGCACACCGTCGTTTGGGACCCATAGTGTAAAACTAAACCGTTTGGGTCCATCAAGCAAATTAATTTCCGCAGTCCCATCAAGCAAATCCCATCATACACCTAGTCACATTTTATTTTGGCAAATAGACCAACTTGTATCAGCAACATTTTCATGCACCGTCCGATGGAATGTACAAGATAAACGGCGTACGTGAAAAGTAACAGTGGGTATATAAAAACGAGTGGTGAGTTTGCCCAGCACCGAGTATCCGCCAATGACACGTAATATACGTCAAACGTCGCCAGAAAGAGTGCCTGACTAATTAGCGTCGTGGAGGCGAACGAATAAATTCATTTGGCAAACTGCAATATTCATCCAGAGGGAAAAGACCTCAGCCTTACCCTCTGATCGTCTACCAACTCCAATCTCCGTCTCTCTTATGATCAGTGATTTTTCTTCGACATTTGCTCGTAGGCCTTTGGGGTCGACAAGTAAACTATGGTGCCGACTGAGAGACCCGTGGAGTCCATACTCCCGGACGACGTACATCGCATTCATGAAAACCTGCATCTCAGAAATTAGTCGCCAGCACATCAGACTACTTGTCTGACAAGACCACGGACGAAAATATTATCCCGTCGTCGCATGGCTGACCAATTTTTTTACTCCGGCCTGAATGCATTCTGCGACATGAACGAAGGAGTGACCGTCGGAGATTGGAGAATGTCCTCGTTTAGGTTTGCACTGACTCTGTAGGATTCTCAAAATCCAGAATTCTGTTCACATATTCCCTCGACGTAATCCACTCATTGATCAACAACGAGAAAAGGCCCAGTTAAATTCTGTTGCGTACATGAGGCCCATTGCAGCTATGAGAGTGGCTTCGATCAACAAAATGCTCTCTTTATAATTCTGATACAAGCTCCTTATGAATGTCGGCAATCAGTCCGTGTTACATTGAGAACTTGACTTGGACACAAATGCACTCACCAAGAGAGGGAGGGAGCCGTTGTCTACAGGGTAAATCGAAGGAGATGAAGAGGTAGATTTTGATGATTCGTGCTGCTGTAGTGCGCACAGATTGAAGACATGTTGCTACTCTTGAACAGACCTGGAGAACATTCAAGGGAATTTTCAGATTCAGAATCCGAGCTTCAAGTTAAAGCTCGCTGCTATCAAACGTCGTTTTTTCTCGATCAGAGGCGACATTCGAAGGCTGCCATGCCAAAATTGTTGAACCTCTCCACTCCACGTCGACAAGCATCTCGTCCAACCCCTGCATTGCGCTCTCGGGCTACTCCAGAGCTCCAAATGTACCACATAAAAGAGATATTGGAGGCATGATATTCACACAACTCCCATCAGAGTTTGCATCTTGAAGAGTCATTGTCTGCTCAGTCAGATATCACTCTTTTCAGAAGAGCCATGTCTCTTGGAAGGTAGAAGTTCGTAGCATGATAGCACAAGTAAGTCAAAGCTTTGGTATCAATGTATCGATCACTTCCACAAATCTGCTTCCATATCCTCCTCTCCCACCCATTTTGCTATGAGTACCAAAAGAGTTCTGAGCTATTGAAACTTCAGTTTATCCTTTGTGAAATGGGTTTGAAAGTGGATTGTCGTTGTTAGTTTTTGGCAGTAAGAAAGGCTTATTAAGTAAGATTAAAGATAATGTCAAATATTATAATCAAGCTTGTTCTGTCTTACAGGTTTTGTTTCAAATTTTCATTTTCTCTGGAATTTACAATTTTAGGCCCACTATATTTTTCCAAAAATATAAGAGAGAATTGTTCCTAAGTTTAAAATCTTCCATAATTATTTCACTTGAATTTTCTGTTTCGTAACATGTCCACAGTTTGGTCGGAATTTTAGAAGTGATGATATGATCGTTTTGGAGAATGCGGTTTAGGGTGTTATTTAATAGTTTATTCATTCCGTGTGATATATATATATATATATATATATATTGTACTTTGAAAGTATTATTTACAACATACACTTTTCAACATAATTATAAAATTGTATAATAGTTTCTAAAGACATCCTCAATCTGACATAACATCAATGTTTCGACTATCTTCAGTATAATCCACATCAAAGTGATATATGAAAGTTCAGCGATGATAATTTATTGAATGGTACGAAAACAAGAATCAGTACCATTGGATGTACATAATGAATAATGTAGAAACTCTACTAGAAAATCTCTCTATAAATTTCGGTAACATTCGTGGATTTTTTTTCAAATAATCAGCTATTGAGCATCTAAGATGAAGTCCCGTCCAAAAACGGATAATCGGTGTACCCTACGACGGGGTCTTGCGTGTAGAAGGTGTCGCGATTATACTTGTTCAAAGGAGCATTGACCTGGAACCGCTTGGGAAGATCAGGGTTGGCCAGAAACAGACGACCGTAAACAATTCCGTCGGCCTTGCCACTGACGATGGCCTTGACACCTTCCTCCTTGTTGTAGCCTCCAGCGGCGAGGAACGTGCCCTTAAACGCTTTCCGGAAGGGCCACAGACTATCCGGCGAGTTCTCGACCTCTCCCGCAGCCTTCATGCGGGGCTCCACGTAGTGCGCGTAGACGATGTTGCGCTTGCTCAGCTCCTGCGCCATGTACACGCCCAGCGCGACGGGATCCGAGTCGTGCGCCTCGCCGTAGTCGGCGAAAGGCGAGAGCCGGATTCCGACCTTCTCGGCGCCGATCGCGGCAACCACAGCGTCCACAACTTCGAGTGGAAACCGGCACCGATTCTCCAGCGATCCTCCGTATCGATCCGTCCGGTCGTTCACTCCGTCCTTCATGAACTGGTCCAGCAAGTATCCATGCGCACCGTGGAGCTCGACTCCGTCAAATCCCGCCTTGATCGCCTGCTTGGCGGCAGTGACGTAGTCCTGTACGTAGTTGGCCACCTCCTCGGTCTCAATGGCCTTGGGCTGCGAGAACGGCTCCATGGTCTTGCCGTCCGGCAGAATCACCATTCCAGTCTCAATTTTCTTATTGGTGGACGACGGAGGCGGATTGCCGTTCGGTTGATACGCTGCGAGCAAGAACCCAGAAATTTAAAACGCGCGCACGTTAACGAAATTGCGTTCGATGATTCGAATCGCCCGCTCACGGCGCGGCCGAGAGAGCCGGTACAAATTAAACCAAGCAGGCGCCCGCTCCTGGCGCAGCCGAGAGAGCCGGTGCGAATTGAACCACAAATTCAAATGAGATGAAGCTTACCGGTGTGGCTCTGCCTGCCGACGTGCCACAATTGCAGGAAGAAAATTCCGCCCTTGTCGTGGACCGCTTTCACGATCGGCTTCCAGCCTTCGACGTGCTCGTCCGTGTAGCACGATGGCGTCGATGGATACCTGCGCAGACGACGATGCGAATTTCGTGAGCACTCGTTCGCGTTCGGGACGAGCGAATGGAAGGAATGCTCGTCGGCTCTGATAATTGTGGCGGTCGAGAAAATTTGCTCGAGGAGATTTGCGGGAGGGAAAAGCGTGCAGTGAGTGCTCACCCGTCGCATGTAGGATTGATTCCTGTCGCTTCGGCGATCAGAAGGCCTCCTGGTGTGGTACGCTGACCGTAGTACAGAGCCGCGTGGGGCTGCGGAATTCCTCCGTAAGATCGACATCTCGTGAGAGGAGCCAAAATGATCCTGCAATTGCACAGGTGATAAAAAAAGCCGAATGTCATTGTCACTGCCTTGTGATACACTCTAATTTGGCAACAGCAAGATGATTTTGTAATTGCACATGTAATTAAAATCAAGCCGGCTGTCATTGTCACTCCCTTGTGATACACACTAGTTTGGCAACAGCAAGATGATCCTGCAATTGCACAGGTGATTAAAAAAAAAGCCGACTGTCATTGTCACTCCCTTTGTGATACAAACTAATTTGGCAACAGCAAGTCCATAAGCCGGAACGAAGTGGAATCCGCGCATCTAGAGAGTTGTTTTGACTGAATGTCCTCTCTGCGTTTCATGCACACGGTGCTTGCACCTACCTGTGAGAGAGATGGAAGGGTCCGACTTGCAAGGGCTGGAACAATGCATTATTTTGCTCGGCGTGGGGCGCGGCATTTTCTCTAACGTGTACTTCACCCATTTCTGCAAGACGTACTCAAGCGACGCTGTGGCGATTGTATCCCGAAACCCTACGCCTTCTGATTATGCTCGTGTTTCACGAATAGACTCTTCTACGCACCAACAACGACAATCTCTAGTGATCAGACAGTGAAACCAAGAGCGGTGCAATGTCTGGCTTCCGGGGAATCCAGGCAGACACTTATAGAGCGCCCTGCAGCAGCAGCCCCTTGTGTCTTCCCACGCTCTTACACCTGCAGCTTCCGCTAGCCAGTTGTTGTGCTTCGCTCTGCACTTCTCACGCGACCAACGACGACAGGAGGGCTAAGCAGCCGAGTTCTCCGGACCCCCCGTGCCCAGATACACCAGTACTTAGAGCGATGTACCTTCTTGAGAAGTTGCGACCGATCCCCTCGTGACGCGATGACGACACGCGCACTCTCAAAATAGCCTCATGCGTCGGGTCTCGGTTGCTGATATCAGCACTTTTGTTTGAGTGCTTTGCTTTGGAAAAAAGGTACAATCGAGCTTCTTCTTTCCCCTTGTTTCTAAATCTTTAGGTTAGCTCTGGATCCCTACAGCCGTTTGGGCTTTACTCAGTACAATCAAACCCTGAGATGGCGCCTACATGGGGCGACAGAGTGCGGCAAAGATGAATTGAAGGCCGGTTGCTTAAGGAAGTGACAAACAAAAAACACAAGCATGTTTGCAAGTGACAGATCTGGGTATCTGGAACCCCAATGCACGCCTGCCTTGAACATGAGTTTGATATACATGTAAGATATAGACACCTATGGCACTATCATCAACTTTGTTTTCTTCTGTCTTTGTGATTGCATATACATACATCCTTAATTTGTATGGGAGTGATGTGTATACCTCATTGTTACGTTTACATGTATTTTAAGACATGGAGATGTTTTGACCGTGACATAGGATATAAACTATGGACTTTTTTTTTCTCTCTCTGCCCATGAGTTAAACTAGATTTGTGAAGTCTAAAGTTTCGACAAACTGTTCATTCCCTCGTAGTTGACCATTCTATTCATAGTTCTATTTGAGGCTAGTCTATACTATTGCTCTTCTGAGGGTGCAGATTGGTTTATTCATGCATTCACAACAAATATTTTTTACACCAATGAGTATCATAAGTTTATCCAGGTATATCTTCATTTTTTATTCTAAAGCAGATGCAAAAAGAGGGGAGCACTAGGAAAGATTGGAAATATAGAAATTGCGGCTTGAATACATGGGAAGCAAAGCACTTGGAGATTGAACAAAACCAGGAAAGATCAGTGAAGAAAATTATTTTCTGGAAGGAAAATCTGGTTTTGTCACATTGCAGCGCCTGATTAAAATGACGGCGCTGCGCCTAAGGTTTCGCGAAACCTTTCCTTAAAACGGAAAGGTTTCGCGAGAAACGAACAGGACGTGGACGAACAGGGTAGCAGTACAAACCTCCAGCCTCTCACCACATACACTCTGCAGATCCTTAGGATGTTGTGAACTCCGAAAAGGCATGGATCTTAAACCCCGTGGCGGGAACCATCAAATCAAACGAAGTTAACTGCTCTCAGTCCTCGACCGCTTCTCCGGAGTTTTTTGCATACAGATCGTGATACTGAATCTGACTGGATCGTAGATGAATATGCTTGGACATACCTACTGATGATATCTGACCAATGACGCATATGACCGATGACTTGAATCTTGTGGGCTCTGAAATGTAGGCTTGACTATCGGAGTAGTGAAGTGCCAATCAACTCCTCGACAGGATCCGGCGTTTAGAAACTGAATCCCGGCAATTTTGAGGGACTTTCATAAGGGCAGAATCTGTCGCAGGGGTTCCGAGATGAAACTACCAAGCGTTTCGAGATGCTTTCTCTTCTCGAGATTATATTCCATGAGCTTCTACGTTATTTAATAATGCTGATGCTATCCGTTATTTAATATTGTTGACGTTGATACCTCAATCTCTTCAGCCGTTACATTGTGACCCAACGAAAACTTCAAGTAATTTTCCATCTTTTACTACAACTATTTATGATGGAAAATAATTTTCATACGTTGAGCTTTTTATTTGGTAATATAGTCATTGTAACAATTATATGAAAATATCGTTTTCATGTTTCTTCTTTGGACAACTTTATGTAATATTTTCATCATTGTCCTATCCATTCAGTCCATTCTATTCCTAAAGAGCTTTGCACATTCTATATCATCCTGTAGATTCAAGCCACAATCCACATAGTTTGGTTAATTATGGGATCACATTTACAAATAGTATCGTCCATAAATTTATCAACATAATATAATATGCAATAATTTTTTTATATATTAATGATATAGTGCGTGTATATTTTATGTATCTATTTTTTATTGCCTTCTGTATATAGATTATGTAATCTTGCGCCTTAATGCATTTTTTCCCTTTCTATTAAACACGTTGCTCTTATTTTACTTATTTTCGGTCCCTTCTGATTTGTTATATACTTCCTCTAAACGAATTTACAGGTTCATCCTGTGGATGTCGTAGTAATGAGAGTCGTGAGCAATCAGGGTTACCCGGGGGAGGCATAGCAGTATGGCTACAGACTTGATTAAAATCTAGTTTATCAAATCTATTCGTCTTGATTTCATTTTTTTCTATTTCACTTTTCCTCTCTTGGTGTGGTAGTTGTGCATCTGCTATGGGTCCAAGAATAGTCCTTCGTATTTTTTTTCATTCCTGTATATTCCATGGTCTTCACATTTTTTTTGGCTATATTTCTAGCTGCCGCACTTTACCAAAAAAGCTTGAAGTCATATGTCTCGTTAGGACCCACCTGTTGGTCATGTCAAAGAAGTCCTGAACATAGCGGTCTGCATGTTGCAGGACCGGAGGTTCAGTCAACCGTTGATTGCATGCTGACTTTGTTCCCTCGCTTCTAAAGAAATTTCATGTGTTAGAGACTGCATGGAGACGGGATCCGAGGAGTTCCCAAATCGTTCAGAGCATTGCCATCACGTCCAGTCTCTGGAGGAACAAAGAGGTCATCAGACCACAGCGACAAGTCAGAAGTCCACTGTACCACGAATCAATAGCTGCCGGACATCGGACTCAAGGGACTACTACTACTATTATGAATTGCAAAGTGAATAGCCTTCTCCGATGTAAACATCTCTGAATCTCCTTCTCCGATGCCACATATCTCCAGTCGCTACTGGAGATGTGTGGCATCGGAGAAGGGGATTCAGAGATGTGACATCAGCGAATGGACTGCGAGCGCCAGGTTCATGAACCTGGTCATTTTCGATCGGTAGGAAAGCAGCACAAAGCAGACAACGGCTCGCTTTTCCCCCTCCCCACGATTCTCGATCGTCGCCAGCGTGAGGTTCTGGAGCCGCGGGGGTCTTATTCTGTGGGGCCCTCCGCCGACATTTCGGATCCAGCTCCATTTCGGCTCGTCTCGATACGTAGAAAAACAGGCGACGGAAATGCTTCCGTACATTTCGCTCTTTCGAGATCGAGATGCGCTACAGACAGAGAAAGTCGACGAGCCCGACACTTGTGCTCCTTTCGTTACAGCTATTCCATCCGTCCACCTGATTCCATCCAGCAGCTTTCAGTTCGACATTTTATTTTACTTTGTGTTCCACCAGAGCCAGTAAAGACAATCCAGAACAGCCAACATGTAGGTCTAAGCTAGAAGTTGTACTCCTCTAGAACTTTTTGTATAACATTGGGGTTATATTTCATATCGAAATGCACAATGACAGTTCAATGTCATTAAGATACACACAACTCATCCATTGAATGATGACAACATCTCTATCAAGGATTACAATAGTATGTTGGTGTGTATTTGATTTTTAAAAATTCTAGACAAGTCAAAAGATGTAAACATGCACACATAAGTACATGTAGATCTGATTTACATCCTTGGCATCGCACAAGTGGGCTCAACAACCACGCATTTAACTGAAAAAATTCTAGAAATTATCACAAACATTGTACAATGGTTCATGTTGGAATCAATCACTATCAAGGACGGTTGGTGATTACAGGTTATGTGTATTGTAAGACTGGTTGTTGTATGAATGAATTAGTTGTTACAAGTAGCTAGGGGTTGATCATGGTTAGTTTAGTTATTATATTTTTACTTGGCAAAATAATTAGAGTAACTCTAGAAGTTTTGAATGAGTTTAGGAGTTGGAACAAATGTGCAATGAACACATTGCATTTCAAAAAGAATGAAGTTTAGCATCATTTTTAGTTAATTAGAATTAAAGTAGAAATTACTCAAGATTGAGTAGAGTAGATGATAATGGGATATTTTAGTATTATGTACTTGTTAGTGTATTGGTTAGAGTCAAATTCATCTACAAGTTTTTTTTTCATGTTGGAACATACCGTTTTTAATGCTCATTGATGTTGTACAAATTGAAGAAATTTGACGAATATAGATTGATAAACTAGGAAAGAAGGTTGAGTATATTTATATCTTGGATGATGCAGGAGTAGATCTTGCATGCAACCAAGAAGTATCTATAGTATGAGTATGAGTCTTGTAGACTTTTGACGCACGTTTCTCGCATGCGTTGCCAAGTTCTTTCAACGGATACGATCAAGGTTTTTGTTTCAAAAAGTCACCCTTTTGCTGTTGATAATATACTTTTGAACTTATGTGTATTTGATCATTATTTCTAAAGTATTATAGGCAATTTATTTCAAATAGATGAATCTCAATATCTGAAAAATAATATATGTATGAATTTAAACGTATTCGATCAATTTTTAACATGTATTATAGGCAAATTATGTCAAATGGATGTATTTCCATGTATACAAAAATTGATGTTTTTTGTAACCTAGGAGAAAGTGTTGGCAAGTAATGTCAATGTTGTTGACAAAGAAGATATTACTCTCATTACTTTTAAAGATCATCATATTTCATGTAATACCTCAAATTAACTATCTTTATCTTAAGTTTAGAAGTATCCATCTGCACGACAATTTGAAATTTAGTAGCTTGTATGAATGTAAAAATCTTTAGTTAGTTAGAACTAAAGTAGAGATTACTCAAAATGTTTATATAGTTACCTTAACGTGCACTAGTCATAGTTGTCACGTTAACAATCAGTTTGCTTGTTATGTAAAGATTGAGTGTGATAGTTAGTGTATTAGTTGGGAGTGTCACGTCAACAGTTAGTGTGTTTGTTAGGGTTATCTGCCATGTCATCCATTCACTAAAAGTATAATGAATTGTAGGTATAAGATCTTATCTCTTTGTACTTATTGGTATGAGCTATATAAAGGAGAATAGAACAATTGTTGATATATCTCATCTTTAGAGTTTATGTATTGATATTCAAATGAGTTTCTCTCTAAACTTTAGTGTTACAATGATATCAAAGCGACCTTGCTCTTTCCTTGAGTGTGAGTTTTCTTCATGGAATAGCAAGTAAGTGATTATAGAGTGCAGTTTTGAGAGTGTATAGAAGCTGGAAGACGTCATTAATCTACATGTAGAGAGAGGAGTAAAGAGTAAAATTGTGATTGTGTAGATATGGACGGGCTTGACAAGATTCCAGTAACGCACTGGCCGATTCCTAATCTAATCTAATCTAATTGTTGTATGAAGAAAGATCATTCTCGGATGTACCTTATGGCTTGTTAGGTGCAGATTTCATGATTAGAGTGATGAAGTCCATAATGTTAGTGATTTTTCCAATAGTTAATCAAGGATAGACTTGGAATTGTACAATATACATTCTATATTGAATGTTTCATGGATCTGAATTGCAAATCACCCATCCCGGTTTGATTCAACATCTATGTTGAGATTAGAATAGTATACTGACAGTAAAGATTATGAAGAGATTTTCTTGTGAAGAATTATGGAGGAAAGTGCTATAGAGTTGTGATAGAATCACATATATCTATTGTGATTCCTTTGTTAAGAGATTAGATAATGATTATATTCATTTTGTATTGAAGTGAGTATAAATGAGCATGAGGACATCAATCAATATGGGTGATGTTTTTAACGCAATCATGGCGGATATGAATGAGTTGACAAAAACGATAGTAGATGGACATACCAAGCAGCAAGTCATGAAGGATAAAATCTTCACATTGGAGAGTGAGAAAGTAGAGAGAGAAAGAATTGGAGAGATGAAAGTTGAACCTCAAGTTCAAGCTTTTCAAGTTCATCCGGAAACAACTCTTATTGATGCAATAAAAACAAATAGGAAACGTCTTGAAGAGATTAAAGATCAAACAAATCTCTTGTTTCGAATGGAAAAATCTTGTAAGGAGTAAGCTTACAAAAGGAATAGAGCGATGGGAGTGTTAGAGGGATAGATAATGAAGATGAATATTCATTTATTCTATTTTCATGTTTTCGATTATATTGCATGAATGTTCATGAGATCTTATCTTATAAATAAGGCTATCACATTGTACACCACATGGTAGAGAATGCTTTCAAAACGAGATGTTATTATTTTGTGGAATAGAATGCAAGAAAAACTTTTGCAGAATTTTCAACTTGTGGACTATCTTCAAATTGAAAGAATGAAGTTATGAGATTTGAAAGAGAATGGACGTATTTATGAGTACATTGAAGAATTTTGTGATTTTCAAGAATCCATCATGGATATGAGTGGAGCCCTGGACGTGTTCAAACGAAACTTGAAGGATCAAATTTGAAAGGAGATGATGGTAAGCACTCTATCCACAGTGAACGAAGCAATCACAATTGTTCAATGAATTTTGGGTGCTTATGATGTCACACATTGTGAATTAGTGAACAATTTTTAAGATACATTTGATCTAATACCAATGAAGTTGGAAAACCTTTGAGGTATATAAGGTTTTGCACCAACAAGAGTATCACCTCCAAGATTTGGAGGCGAGATTCATCGAGAAGGAGGTCCAAATTTGCAAGAAGGTTATGCAAATAATAGAATGGTTTGAGGAGAAACGGATGTTTGTGACAATCACCAATGTTATGCATGTGAACGAATGTGTTACATTGCTAGGTTTTGCCGACTTTGATCGGCACCACAAGGAGGACGGTCTATACAACAACGATCGTTCAAGAACATGGAGGGAAGAATGTATGAAGAGTTGAAGCAAGTTACGTGAAACAAAGATCATCAGTAAATTTGCCTTGCGGACTTATTGATTTCACAAAGCAAAAAAAAAGGTTGGAACAAGTCAATAGTGAGGAATTCATGAAAGGAGTAAGAAGCAAGCTCAACTCATTGTCACATATGGTTTGATGGAATGACACAAGGTGAGAGTTCTAATTGATCCTGGAGTAACATAGAATTTTCATCGATGATTGTTGCTATGAAGTTAGGTTTGATGTTGATGAAAGACGTGAGTGAAGAAGTTGAATTGCCAAACGGGCAAATTGAAGTGATAGAGACACTACCACAGAGTGTAAAATTATTCATAGGTAGATACAAGGAGAGCATTGAATGGAGAATAATTTGTTTAGCTCGATATGATATCATGTTTGGAATGCTATGGATGGAACAATATAATCCGAATGTAGATTGGAAAATAAAAGTGATCACAAATAGTGGTTAGAAGATCTATGGAGATAAAATTAGATCTCACATAAGAATTTACGCCTCTTTGTGATGGATAAAACATCCATTTTTAGATATGATGTATGTTTCCTTGGACTTATAAGAGATATTGGATCCATAGTCAAACTTTACATCCCGGAGTCCTTGAACGATATTTTTATGGAGTAGAATGATGTTTTTCCAGATGATTTACCTGATGATTACCATCAAAGATGCGAATAGATTACAAGATTGAGCTGATACAAAAAATTACACCAACTTGCAAAGCTCCATATCGTTTGACTCCAAAAAAATTGGAAGAATGCAAAGCTCAAGTGGAGGAGATGTTGAGCAAGGGATTCATTCAACCAAATGTTTTACTTTATGGAGCTCAAGTGCATTTTGTGAAGAAGAAGGATGGATCTATGAAACTATGCATCGACTACTTCAAGGTTGAATCAGCAAACGGTGAAAAAAATATATCCATTATCTAGTATGGATGATTTGTTTGATCAAAATCTGTAAGACCAGATATTGCATGTGTGAAATAAAACTAGAATTAGCCAAGGAGTTAATCATGGTTATGATAGTTATGATTAAATCTAGCTAGTTATGACTAAGTCTAGCTAGTTTAGCTATAATGTCTATACTTGGCGGAATAACTAGAGAAGTTCTAGAAGATTTGAGTGAGCACTTCTATTTTGTCTTGTACAAAAGTCTAGATTCCAAGAGAAAAGACTTTTTGACTTCATGTTTAGTTTTGATTGGTTTGACTAAAGTAATGAGTACTCAATTGGTTAGACTAGTCTAATGTTGACTTAGTGTAAAGTGCAAGTTCTAAAAGTTGGAAAGGCACAAATGGCAAGTTGCCACCTCAATCTAGGAATTAGTAATCATCTAGAAGGTTTAGGTAACCAATGGCATGTTGCCACATATTGATAACTAGTCAACCTTACTATGGTTTATCTTTGTAAAAGTAAGTTAGATATGAATTACCATTTGTTACTATGGTAAATTCTCAAGTAGTATATATAGAGAGATGGGGAAGAGCCTCTCAAGCAAGTTTGGAGAGTTCATATGTAGAGACTTGTTTTATATATGAAAAAGTGACGAATTTTCAGTACCTTGAAGTGTCGATGAGTGTATGAGTTGGAGTGATACCTTGAGAGATTGTGTGAGAGGGTGTTTAGGTTATGAGTATGATGCGGAATCTTAGTCTTCTAGAATCATGATGAGCTACCAAAAAGCCATTTGAGGTAAACCTAAATGAGAGTCAGCCCGGAGGTTGCAATTCAAGGAACAAAGTACCTCATGAAACTAAATTTGAAAAGCAACTACAATCAAATTTAAATTGCAGATGATGATGTCCACAAGACAACTTTTCGTACTAGGTATGATCACTTTGAGTATCTAGTGATGCCTTTTGGTCTCACTAATGCACCAACTACATTCATGGGATTGATGAACGATATTTTTTGCCCTTATCTAGATAAATCCATCATTGTTTTTTAGATGATATATTGGTGTATATTAAAATTTTGAGTGATCAAAGATATCATTTGCAAAAAGTATTTCAAGTTTTGAGAGATAATCAATTGTATGCCAAAGTTTGAAAATGTAAATTTGGCAAATCAGAAGTATATTACTTGGGTCATAGAGTTACAACCGTAGTGTTCCAAGTGATGAATGAAAAGATAGATGCCATTCAGAACTAGACAGCACCTAAGTATCAAATTGAATTGAAGAGCTTTTTTGGGCTCAATGGATCCTTTCATAGATTTATGAAAGGTTTTGATTGCCTAGCTCGGGCTTTGACTTTCATGTTAGGGAAAGTTAAAAAATAAAGATAGGAAATAACTCAATAGTTAGTTTTTCAAACATTGAAAGATGTTTTGTTACACGCACCTATACTTAAGTGGTATGATTTTAACCGTCGTATCAAATTCGCTACTAACGCATCAGGTACAACGGTAGGTGGCATATTTCAACAATAATGATGCAAGAGTGGAGCAAGATGACACATGCCACAAAGGAGGATGAAAAGATCATGAGATCATTACAAGTTGGAAGTGCAGAGAAGGCTAGAGGTTTGGCGTTCTAAAAACAAAGTATATGAATTCCTCAACATCAAGAGTTACACACAATGAATTTATCAAAAAATCATGATATAGCCATTGCAGGTCATGTGGAAGTGAAAAAGATCTTAGAGAGCATTCAACGAGTTTACTTTTGGCTCAAACTACGGAAGGATGTGGAGATGTACGTTCAAAAGTGTGTTGCTTGTCAAAAAAACAAGTCAAGTAATCAAAAACCAATTGATTTATTGCAGCCTCTTTCTTTTCTCACCAGCAATGAAAACATGTCACCATGGATCTTGTATGTGAGTTACCAAAAACTTCATTAGGAAATGATTCAGTGAACAAATTGAGTAAGATGATTCATATCTGACCAATCACAAAAACAATGACGGCTCCACAACTTGCTTAATTGTACTTAGATGTTGTTTTGTGAATCATGGATTAAGCAAAGTCTTAATCAATGATAGAGGTACTCATTTCATTAGTTTTTTTTTGAAAAACTTGTTCATTTTTTTCAAAACCAAATTAGCAATGTCAACCGATTATCATCCTCAAACTGATGGTCAAACATATAGAGTCAATAGAATTGTAGAGTATATGCTAGTGCATTCATATTAGAGGAGCAATAATAGTGTGATACACTTTTGACTCTTGTGGAATTTGCATACAACAATTATGTAAATGCATCCACAAAGGTGTCAATTTTACCTCATGTACGGTGCTTCTCCCATTACTCCGTCAAGTTTGATGAAGTTTTTGAAAGAAGATTAGTTTTTAACTAAGTTAGCCGCGATCAACGAGTACTACATCAAGCAAAGAAGAAGTTGTTGATTGCTCAAAACCGACAAACATAACATGCTGATGCTCATCGTTGGGTGTTAGTTTTTTAGGTTGGAGATAAGGTTTAACTATCTACAACAAATTTGACTCTTCTAGGAACATCAAAATTTAACCATAGATTCATTGGTACTTTTGTGATATTGAAACGTGTTCGTGAAGTGTCATACAAGTAGAAATTACCGCTACATATGAAAATACATAATGTATTTCATGTGTCACGATTACAAAAATATGTATCACTACCAAAACAATTCACAAACCAACCGGTGTAACTTCCTTTATCAACTTTGATAGCTTATCAAGAACAATTTGAGGTAGAAAAGATTCTCAAGAAAAATATTCGAGGCCATAAATATTTCAAGGTTGAGTATTTGGTTCAATGGAAAGTATATCCATCATATGAATCAACTTGAAAACTAGCTAGAAATCTAGCTAATGCATCGTTGATAGTTCAATAATTTGAACAGATGTGCAACGAGCACGTTGCGTCTTGAGGGAGTTTTGTAACCATTTTTAGTTAGTTAGAACTAAAGTAGATGTTACTCAAAATATTTATATTGTTTCTTTACCGTGCATTAGTTATAGTTGTCATGTGACCAATCCGTGTGCTTGTTAGGTAAAGATTGAATGTACTAGTTGGGAGCGTCACATCAACAATCAGTGTGCTTGCTAGAATTATCCGTCAAATCATCCATCCGCTAGAAGTGGGATGGATGGTAAGGATAAGATCTTTTCTCCATGTATTTGTTGGTAAAAGCTATATAACGGAGAGGAGAACCATTGTTGATATCTCTTATGTTTATATTTTCATCTTCGAGTGAGTATCTTTCTAAATCTTAGTGTTATAATAAATTAACAAATTGATGGTCGTGACCATGTTTGAATCTATGTTGTCAACTAGATCTTAAAAGAGATAAGTTATACAACAAAAATTTGATTACACGTGAAACATATTCAGTTTCTAGGATTGATCATTGTAACGTTAGAATTGAAAGAGAAACTCACTCAAAGATTAAACATAAAGTGTGAAGATGAAATTTTTGAATGGTTACTTTCTTCCTTATGTATATATTTCAAATACATAAACAATGATAAAGTATTCTTCCTATCATCCAATGTTTCTTAATTATTTATTATTTATTGCAAAAATCGTTTCTCCAATCAATTAGAATCTCTTTGGTGAGTGGTCTTAACTTCGCATGATGCCGTCAAGTATTACTTTCTCTATATCTAACGGAATGAGCTCATGATTGCTTATACCTCCCGATAAACAGTTGGACAATCATCAGATCCACATGTCATACAATTTGTTAGGCAATGAGGAAGTTGGATGCAAAACAAATAGCTTGATGTACATCAAGTTGTCGTTGCCAACAAATAATATAATATAAAATCAGAAGCAAGCAATCAAAGAGATTGTGGAAAGAAGCTCAACAACGTCAACAAACAATCTTAAGCTAGCTGCAGTGGTTTAAACTTAATGTGATAATCATAAATCACAAAAAAAAACAATCTTTAATCTTCAAGTTGAATGAAAAGTTTATGTGAGAAGGTATTTGAATCACGATCAAGTTAAAAAATCACACTCTTATAGAATCATGATGAACTATCAAAAAGTCATTTTAGATAAATCTAGAAGAGAGTAAACTTCAAGATTACAAAATCATTGAATTTTAAATTGTTTAAACTTTTCACGCATCATTCTTTTGTTTTTTTAATTCAAAAAGTCATATACCAAAAAATATAGGGAGCCGTTAATCACCACTCACTTTTTGCTATTCACAATTCATCGCCAATTTTCAAATCGTTGAAAAGCGCGTCCAAAACACCACTTCCATCACCATGGATCGTTACCAAGAACTTACCTGAGCAACCTATGTTAGTCTAAAGGCTGCCCGCACGGCTCTAAATTCACACCTTGCCGATGAAGGCTACATCGTGACTGTTTTGCACACCAGGCGAATCGGGAACAACAAAGACATGTTCATTTTTAATAGTGTTTTCCATCCAACCAATCAGAGCACGAGAAAAATGCACAAGGATTCTTTAAAATTGGGGATCAGTGACGAATAGCGAAAAGTGAATGATAACTAATGATTCCCAAAATAGAATGTGATTCAAACTTGTATTCAGGAAACAAATTTTTGATACAATGAATTTTTTAAATTTGTTTGAAAATCTATTCTCTATCATTCTATTTATATTATTTCAAAATTTATCATAGTTATAAGTTATTATTATTATTTAATTTATTTTTATTAATATAATAACATGTCTTTCATTTATCTAAATGTTTTCAAATTTTCATTATTTCGAGATTGAGATATTAACATATCATTTTAAAATTTCAAAATTCTAAAATTTACACATGTAGGTAAGTTAACTTTAGATTAAATCTAATTTATATTTCCTTTACTTTATTGAACCAATGTTGGAACTTAATATCGAAATAGGGTTTCAATTATTATTGAAAGTCATTAGATTTAAGATTTTATGTCCAAATTTTAATTATATATTGTTCGTGTACCCACAATATATAATTATCATACAATACCAAACATAATCCAACAGATATAGAGTTTCGAAATCAAATTATAAAAATTGTTGACCATTTTTAAAGTTATAGTAAATCTTCAAACCAAATAGGAATAAACGAAGATCTGAGTCACATTCATGAGAAACCGCACCGAGAGTAATTTAGATCAGTTTGTGTTTATGGAGATCCGAAAAAACAAAAGAAAAACAAAAAGAGAAACTGTAATAGATAATCTTTAAAATATAATGTACGTTGCGAAACGGACATAATGAACTGATACCAGGAATCGACACGGACACAGCTCATCCAGACGGCCACTTAAAAGAGACTTTCGAGTTTTCCTTCTACATCAGGATCGGGATGCGTGTTGATAAATATTCTCAAAAATCAAGGCATTTCAGAGAAAATATATCTTACAACAAATTGCTATCGCTGTTGAACTCCTCAAGAGCGTCGTCTACTAAAAATATGGGTCAAAACTGAGACTTGCTCTGATCACAAAGCAAATCTATAACCTGACTACAAGGAAATGTTTAAAGTTAGACCAGCTGTGTTCTCCGGTCTAAAGTTAAACACCTCCACGATGACTAGGTCATCACTTCCTTCCAATCGACGTCCGCCCCGTCCTTTCGCCGATTCTCGTCTTCTAAACCCACCTCGAAGATAGGAAAGCAACGTCGTACAGTTTGCACCAGTCTAGTTCGCATGTTTTAAGCAGCCTTCCTAGTGATTCCAATAATTGCTCCTACACGACTTGCAGAAATCTATGGGTGGGAAAGGATTCATCGATCCAGAACACTAAACCTCCTTCTCTAGAGGCAGAAACGGTGACGGGTAATACTTCACCTCGTAAAACACCTGAGAGTCAAAGGCTAGCCTTATAGATAAAGTGACGCTGCGAACACAATGTCTCTTTTTATCTTCACGACTGCGTCCTCAAACTTCGTTTCCAGCTCTGTTGCTCCGATGGATCTGGATGCCACTATGAGCTGTTGTAGGACCTCCTCTAGTCTTTTAAAAGCACGAATTAAGCTTCCTTCGAAGGTATCTGTCATCTTCATGATTTCTGAAAACTTCGCGCCAGAGGCCCATGCATATGCCACTTCCATAATATCTGGGCGAAATGAGGTAACGTACAGCTCTACATCGATTGACATCTGAATGCAAGAAGCCAATCCGTCAGAAAAACCTTCATAACTCAAGCTGTGCCTCGGGTGACTTTTCTCAGAACAAATTTGAGGATATTTTCGGAGTTGGAATGTAAAGACCAAAAGCTTGTGCTCAAACTGAGCAAGAATTCAACGGAGTCTGAACTTTAGCTGCAGTGTAGTACCTTGGAATCCAGTTGGGCTTTTCCCACCCTTCGTGCCACATCTCTAAGTTGTGTGTATGGACCAGACAAGTCCTCACGAAGTTTGGGTGCATTTTTGCTCTTTTCTTGCCAAACAAAGCAAGAAAGTACCGCCACAAGTTGCTCTGAAGAAAGTTCTTTGAAGTTTCCACCAAATATGAGTTCCGTAAGAACAATTTCATCGGCACTGCTTATTTCACACGCCACTCGTCCCTTCATCTCCACCACTCCATCCACAGTTGCATACCTACAAATTACCATCACGTTTCCGTTAAAATTCCTTCAGCATCTTCTATTCGAAGCACCACATGACAGCCTATGACAAACAAATACTAAAGAATATAACTCATGACTCTTCGAAAGTCAACAAAACTTTTGTGATCTTTTTGCCAAAGAGTTAAAAAACATCACGAAAGTGAAAAAGAAGGACCATGAATTGAAAAACAAAGGATCTTATGCAGTCTTTTGCGTCCAGTACAACATTGCTTGCTACCAACCAGTCACACAATTTTAGCAGATCTTCCATGACTGAACATTTGCTGCACATCGAACTCACCCGAGTTTTCTAAGGACCCGCCTGCGTGACTTGAGCTCATCTTTGAAGACAAGCGTTGATGCAGCTCGAACCTCAGTGCGAGCGGCTCGAATAGATAACGTCAGTTTGTTCTTCTTCTGCAATATCTTCAGCCTTGAAGTTATGGATGGTGAAGAGGCAACAGGGTGATCTGCGATCATTTTCTCGACAGCTTCAAGTCGTCTCGTCACCTTCTTGTACGCTTTGCTATCCACCTGCAACAAATCTCACAACGTTTTACTGAATCCTGATAAATACATCACAAAATGCTTTGCGCTTCGACCGATAAAATCTTTGCGAAAACATCATTCTTGCTTTCTCCCGCACTTTTGTTATTCAAAGCCAGCTACATACCTGCATGTCATCCTCGGGATCAAGTAATTGAATTCCATCAGGAAAACGACGCAGAACCTCCAAAACGGTTTTCTTGCATTTTTCCCGAGCTTCTATTGGCCGTAGATCCTTAGGAATGTATATACGAACAGCGCTTAGACTCTCCAGCTGTGAGAAGAACGGCTTCAAGTTAAATCGTCGCATTCATGAGAGAGAGCCACAATAAAATAGTCTCACACAAGTAAAACAAAAAGAAAGATAACTGCTGATTGCCCGAGAATTAGGATAGAAAAGTAAACCTGTGAGAGAGGAACAGCAGTCACAACTGGCTCTCCCGGACTGTCCATCGCGACAGGACGGGCAGTTTTACGACGGGAATTTTCATCCTTGGTGACGCTGTTTATAAGAACATCGACCATGTACTTTGGCTCAGGTGCACTGCGTCCATCTTCTGTAGTTTTCAAAGCGTAACCCAAAATGGGAGAGTATGCGTCAGCTCCCTCAAACAAAGATTACAGTCTGGAATAGCTCTCTCAAACGTTCTCACATGCTAGATTCAAAATTCAAGACTAATTCACGATGCACTTAAGCATCGTGAATGAGTCACGGTTGCAAACGAGAATATAATCTTCTATGTTCGCTTAAATACCTTCCTCCACAAAGTCTTTCGTCGCAGTTGCAACTTTCTCGAAATTCACAATCACACCCCAGTAACCCTTTATCGTTGTGCCAATCGAGAGTTCTTCATCGTCATTATCTTCATCACTCAAAACTCTTACAATCCGGCCTGGCTGAAGGAATGGTAAAGCATAGCGTGGAGCAAATGCGATGTCTCGAATGCTGCTTTTCATCTCTCTCCATTGCTCTATCAACGCAAAGTAGGACTTGAGCTCCTCCTCACCCTCGATAACGAGCGAGTTCCTTTCTTCTTCTAACTCTTTCAAGCGTTTCTGGAACAACGTATAAAAAACAAAAGACCGAGGAGTTTAGACATGATCCTCAGAGCTCTTCTTGTATCCAAAAATATCAACAGTTCGCAAAACTTTCACTGATTTAAACTGAGTTCACGAGGCCGTCAATCTCCATAAGATACCTCGAGCTTCGGAAGAGCGCGATCAGCCTGAAACTGGAAAAAGGATTGCCTCAGCAACGCTTCGGGATCACTTTCCTCCGAACGCATTTGATTTATCAGCATATTATAGCTCAGATGGAAAGCACTGAGCCACAACAGCCCCAAGTGTAAGAGTCGATACTCAAAAAAAGAAAAATTTCTTAGCTAGCAAAATGGTGCAGAGCCTTCAGACCGTGAAGTTCATATTTTAAAGATTTTGACAATTCGACAGGGTTAATAATTTCCGTCTGTAGCATCAACAACTATTTTTTACCAAATCTTTAAAGAAGGTATAGCCAATACCAGCCCGAACAGCATCGACGAAATTAGGAAAAACTGCCACGAAACTGGAAATAGAACAAAAGTCAATCATCATTCCCATCGATGACAAAAAGAAATACCTATTCAACGGATCAGCTGAACCCTTCACCATGGCCTTGGCAACCGGTGGCTCAAGCTTTTCATCAAGCATAAGAATACAAATACCACGGTCATCCAAACCACGACGACCGGCACGTCCACTCATTTGGATGTACTCTCCACCAGAAAGCCACCGGAATTTATCACCGTCAAATTTCCTAACACCAGTAAAGACGACCGTCTTTGCCGGCATGTTCAGCCCTATACTGAAAGTCTCTGTGGCAAACAAACACTGCGCAGTCTAACCTTGTTCAGCAGAAATTCACAACGGTATATTTTCATAGAAAAGGAATTACTAGACAATTACAAGATTAAGTAGATGGGCCAATTTCACTCGTCCACGAAAATATTATGTAAGTATTCGATGAAGCATTCTTCCTCCCTTTGTAATTCGAAAATCCTGACATTTATGGAGAAGGTTCTCTCCACGGAATAAAACATGCTACAGTAAATTACGGCAAACCAATTGCAAAGTGGCTTTGGTGGAAGAAACACTCCAAATTTCAAGTCTGATAAATCAACTGTCAAGCTGGTTAAAGAGAAAGGTGGAGGAGCACACCTTCACTAGGCCCTCCTGAAAAAGAATTTCAATAACTTCTTTCAAAATGGGTAGCAATCCAGAATGGTGCACTCCGATTCCTTGCTTCAGCCAAGGCAAGAGCTTAGAGACCTGGAAAACGAAATACGCAAACTACTATGTTAGTCACAGACGAACGGTACCAAACAGTCTGACGGCCTTTCACTTGAATCAATTATCATCCATCTGATGGAAGCATTTCGTGGCTGAAAGTTAAAGTTAGAGTTAAACCTGTGGAAGTTTCTTGTCGTCTTCAGATAAACAATCCATCGCGCTCCAGAAAATTTGATCGACTAACTTCTTCTCATCGTCATTATTTAAGTCCAATTTTTCCATCTGCCAAGATTGGATATACGAGAAACTTTTTACGGCCTGTTGTCTAGGTGATGAAAGCAGAAACTGACAAATATAAGCTAGAACTTAACGAACTCAAATAGTTATCTCTACATCGCTTCTGCGGTTGCGCAAGATAACATAGACAGGCACCTAAAGAGGACACCCATAGCCTATTAGTTTGGGAATTTGACAGGCCCCTTTCAAGCAGGACTCTAAGATTATGCATCAGAGACAAGGACGAGGATAACAGGAGATAAGATGTGGCTGCTCACATGTTTCTCTGCACAAGTCAAGTCATTACTGTTATTCTGAATTTTTTATTGTACAAGATTAGCGTCAACAAGACGTGAAATACTAGACAGAAAGTCAGACTCAGAATAAGCTGGCTTTGATGAGTACCTGCATTGCTTGGACTTCACAATCCCTCTTACTGAAACTAAAGACAATCACTGGATCGTACTGACGCTGCATGATCATTTTCACTATTTTGAAAATATCACTTGGTCCGGCAGTCTCCTTGCCTCTGGTAGGACCCTTCTGCCACTTGCCAGTCTCCTTGTTGGGGGTCTCAGAGACAGCATTGACAGCTTTCTGAAAACTATCCTCTCGGAACGTGCTCTTCTCATCAACAACAAGATAAAGACCATCTCCACCCATGGGGAACACATAATGTTGAAGCGGTGTAGGTCGATAGTCAGTATAGACTATGTGACATGGCTGTTTGTGAACCTGGAAAAAAAAATGAGTGTTCAGATTTAGAGAAAAGAGGAAACACAAACATGACATTCCGACAAAGTTTGGGGAGAAAATTGACGACTTCAGAAACGAGATACTATACAACGTACCTTAGCAACCCATTCAGAAAACTCCCTAGCATTGGGCACAGTAGCGGATAAGAAGACAAAGCGAGCATTTTTTGGTGCCATGACGATACTCTCCTCCCAGACAACACCACGTTCCCGATCGCGCATGTAATGCACTTCGTCAAAGATAATCCAGGCCACCTCCCTCATCACCTCAGAGCCCCTGTATTGCATACTCCTCAAAATCTCCGTAGTCATGACCTGAAGAAAAGAAAGCATTGATCACAACTACAAATGATAAAATTGAACATCAAGATGGCCGTGGATTACATGCCTCTTAGCATATGGCTTGAGGATTATCTCACCAAGCATGACGCATTCGGTGCAATTGTGACATCCCCGGTCATCAGCCCCACATCAGAAAATTCCTCCGTCATTTCTCGAAACTTTTGGTTACTGAGGGCTTTGATAGGTGAGGTATATACAACACGCTGCTTGTCACGAAGTGACATTGCAATGGCATACTCAGCAACAACAGTTTTTCCGGCAGACGTATGTGCAGAGACCTGCAAGAGGACGTAATAAGATCAATTACATTTTCCTGTGCGTAACCAGCGGACTGCCAAATAAGAAATAAGAAAATGCAAATCTAGCAGCCGGAGAATGCACGAGAGATACGACGCCAGGGATTCACAGTGCGCAAAATTCATGTGGAAAAGGCGGAAATTTCTGAAACATCAGATGGACTTCACGATCTATTGCGGACAATGCTACTATGCTTGCAGGAAAGCATAGTAATGATTCTTTGACTTCGTTTCGACATCCATCTGTGACTAATATCTCGATACTGCGAATTTCTTTCTGAGATAACTTCAACATTAAGTGCATAAATTCCAAATCTTTATTTCCTGCAGAAATCTCACCCACAAGGAACTCCGAGAAAATTGAAATATGATGTACTTCAATGACCACTCCAAACCATAAAATAAATCACTCACCAACACCGACTCGCCAGCCTCCAGACACTTGATGGCTTCCCGCTGAAAAGGATCAAGGGTAAAAGGGTACTCTTTAGCAGGTTTCTTGTTGAGCAAGGGTTCGGCCTTTTCTGGCATCTCATAATTCTCCGGGTACGAGACTTCATGAAGGCAAGTGATTGAGTCGCCCCCGGCTCCATCTACCAAGGGAGCGGACAATTCATCTGCTGTCTTCAACTCGGCAGCGGCGGAAGAGTCAGCTCTCGCCTGCTTCAGAGGAGAGCTCATTGCGTCCGCCCCATTCTCTATTTTCCTCTTCCCAGAGGCCATAGCTGCGGCTTCCTGAGCTCAAAATTCACGTGAAGCGCATGAAAAAAATGTACGAATTCGCATGACCAAGCGAGCTCTAAAAAAATATAAAATCTCTGATTCAAATTCGGCGAGAAGAGAAACACATCCTCCTCGACTGCGAGACGACCCGATGCTGGGCACGATGCAACCTCGAGAGGTGCTGCGTTAGGGCAGCACAGGATTCCACGACGCTGTCCTACAACGTGCAGCGAATTCCCGCAGCTGCAGTTTGGTCACGACATTCTCCACGAATCTTCGAACGTTGGAACGAACTTCCGTCAGAGAGCTCTTGGAGACATCGATCGCAGTGACTGGGCCATAAACCTCAACCACGTACCTCGCGAATTCTTGACCGTGGTTATCAGCAGTTCACGCCAAAAGGTCCAACTTCTCGCATTCCACTCGTTCTTTCCTTGAGTCCGTGCATGTATTTTCGATTTTTATTAAATGTCACACATGGATAGATGATTCGTTCTAAAACTATTTCCAACATCAAAGAACAAACTGTACTTGTGATATTTATTACTACAAGTGTGGTTTCGCATCACTTCATTTAATTGATCTTTAATATGTAATTTTGTGAATATTTTATTAATAAAATATAAATTACACAAAAAAATATTATTATTACACACTTCTGAGGTGTATGTACTATTTGATTGCACAAAATTATTGTGACTGCGATAATCTACCCATAACCATATTTGTCTTGCAAATGAATCTACACTAATTTTCATTAATTGACATCTCGTTACAGATAAAACATATTATATGTATACAGAACAATTTGCAATTGGATTCTTTCAATCACAAAACTATTTTGACTTTGATACTCGCACATTTTACATTCACTGATAATCTATTTTTTAAACCAACTTACGTAAAAGTTTACAATCTAAAAAATCATTGGACTTTTGCATAAAAAAACAAGCTATTTCATTGTACATAATATCACGAAAATTGAAAAAATAAAAGGAGAATGAGTAAGAAGAAATACTCACCAAGACAGAAGGGGTGGAAGCAGAAAACAGATTATTAGGCTTGAATAGCATCATAACCAAAAAAAAAATCATCACGAAAAAATCAAAATCTGAATCATTAACAGACGTTGAACAACACCATCCAATTGATCATCATAAGAGATGATTATCGTTCAGTGGTTCCATGAACTAGTGCTTTATATAAAACAATCAAAATATGATGTCTAATAGTTTAAACAATGCCTAAAAATCATAATACAAATGTTTTTTAGTATATAAATCGGTAGTTCACTCTCCCACAACTATATCAAACTGGGTGTCCATAGCTCTTTATAGATATAAAGCTAGGAAACAAAAAATTTGACTTTTTTTTAAAGCTTGGGGATCTTGGTGTTGTGCTAATAACCCACAGAGAATGATATATAATTTTGATCAACTAAAATAATACAATTATAGCACGACATCTGAATAATCAGTTTAAGTTTTCTCACCTATTATAAATTTGACAACAGCTCAAGTAGTTGCAATCCAGTTTCCATCATGTTGATCTTATATAATTTTTATATTTCCATTCTCGTGTTTAGTAATATGCACGTTTTTTCATCTCAAATTATTACAAACTTAAGTGAAAAATGATTACATTAACGAATGAACCGCATGAATGTTGAGCGTCTCACAAGTAAATATATAGCTTGTGCAAGTCACAAACTATTAATTTAGATTTAAGTACAGATCTAGTACCCTACACAGTTGCTCAAGCAAAGCCGAAGAAGAGCCCCACTACCAACTATAGAGTACATCAACAGAAGTAATAATCATAAGTAGATGAGCTTTTGCTGGTACAACCACTCGATTGTCCACTCCTAATAAACGTAAATTGAGAATGCAGGTCTGTCAGAAAAATTAAAGTAATTTTTTCTTGCACGCTAAAGCTACACTTCAATGTACATTGTAGATGTCAAATCTAATCGGTGGTCGAAAAATATAAGGAGTTAAACTATGCACTACATCCAAACTATCCAAAGTTTCGGTAATACTAAGTTATACTAACACAAATATAAATGATACTGAACATTTTTTTGAAATCAGAGAAACTCTGTATGAGAAAATAATACTGATAGTAATTATAAGCTTAGTAAGCAGTTCGTAGAGACTCGACCAAGAAGAACCATACAAGGGTTGAAGGGTGGGACGGGCAACTACTTCAAAATTCAGGCCCGAATTATGAGCTTTAACGGGGTGAAATTGCGCTGAACTTCGCGCTTTATCATATCGAAGGTGTCGCATATTAATCAACCCGGAAGACTGATAAAGGGTCGCAGAATTGGGCCTAGAAACGGAAGGAATTTTACAAGCTGGTACGCAGTGGTTGGTATGAAAAACCCTAACTACGTAACAGAACAACCGCGTTGTGCAAAGGTGGAGTGGAAGAGGAGCTGAACTGAATATGCGAACTAGGGAAGGCGGAGCTCGTTGTCGTCGTGGTGAGGCAGGCGTCAAGTCACGCATGGATGTCATCACGTGCCCACGAGAGGAGCACATGAATGTCGTCTGCCATTGATTTCTCTGTCCCGCCACGGGCTCGGGCATCGAACATCGGACACCATTGCCTGCGAATGGCGAATGGATTAGCGAGCGATCGATCGGAGGGTGGGAGTGGTTGATTTGCTCGCCGATCTTCGAGTCCCGCCACGGGTCCCGCTCTCTTCGTAGATGGAAACAGCAGCGACCGCAGCATTTCGGATAATAGGTTGTTGTGGTCATGGACGCGGTTTGAAGATGTGCGCTTCCATCTCCTCGTCGGCGTGGTCGTCTATTTTTCGCGCACTCGGTGCTGGTGGTGGCGCGGCCGCTGGCCCGGGCTCTCTGGAAGGATTCTTCACCAGGATTCGGCGTGGAGCGCTGGAGTGAGCGTGGGTCGGTGTCGCGATTAATTTCCGAAGATTTCAGGAGCCGAGGACGGTTGTGTCCTTCGTTATGTAGTGCATTTTGTTCTTCAGTGCTTGGCTCGAAAGCTGTCAAGCCTGCAGCGCTCCCTGTCAGCGGCGTGTTCTCGGCCTCCAAATTACTGGTGTGTTTTGTGTGCCCATTACTCTTGTGTTCACATCGCCTTTCCGATTTGGTTTTATCACTTCTTGGTTGGTGGAATTGAAATGCTCGAATGTGTTCTGTTCTTTCGTAGTCCTTGATGTTGTTATGTAATTTTCATCTGTATGTCCATTTTCAGCCAGAGCATTGGTAGAGGTTTGAGACTAGTGACAGAAGAATGTTTGGTGGAATGTGATTTGCGCTAGTTTGTGAATTGCACACCGAAAGATCTGAGCCTTTTTTTTAAAGTTATATGTCTTTCGTAAGGGTGTCTGTTTAGATGGTCTGATTGAAATACTATGTTTGTTCGTTCAAGTGCTGGTGTCTCTGATGCAAGGTCTCAATGGCGGTGGGTTTAGGATTCCGAAGATGGAGACTGTGGCACGGGTAGCGTGAGGACTTTTACAGTGATTGGAAATTGGAGGAGCGATGGTGAAGCAGGGCAAAGGAGACGTGGAAATTGTTCCGGCTCCTGTTTTCAGGTTTAAGCCCTTGCAAAGCCAAGGCAGGGAGTTTCGTTCAGTTGGTGCAGATGATTCTAGCACAGAGTCGGACGATGGCGAAGGAGCTGCTCACCCGAGCATGGCTGTAGAGCGAGCTATTCCATCAAAATATGAAAAAGCTTACGAGAAAACTCCAGTATACGAAAAGGCTCCCGGTTTTGTAAGCGATAAACGCGAGAATCGGCCACCGAAATCGGCTGCCAAGAAGGCGAAAGAAGCAACAGAGGTGATGGAGAAGGCTCGAGAGGTTCTTCGGGACGCCACCAGAAGCAGCTCCTCGCAGACCCGCTCGCTCTCCCCTCAAGACGGAAGCTCTGGTGACCTAGTCGATGATGCCGCAAACGTCGAAGAGCAACCGCCCGAGTGGGAAGCAAGGCGGGTAATGCTCAAAGAGCTCGCAGGCTTCTACCGCTCAGAATTGATTGGGCACTGTCGTGAATTAGTGACCCTTCAACGCCAGTGGAAGTCCGAGCTGCCTGTAACTGTTGCCGTCCCCGTCACCGTGCATCCTGAAGCAATTGCCATTGTCGGGGCGGCCAAACCTGTGCGCGTGAATGTGCGGAAGTCCAAGGGCAAAGATTCGAAGGGAGCCAAAGGCGGTAGAGGCGATGACAATCTCATGGTGCACAGTCGAGGTCCAGTCAAACTGCCAATTCGGCGACGAATCGCCTGGCGTGCCAACGAGAGGGAAGCACTGCGCCGAGGATTGCTCAGTTTCGGGTTGGGCAGAGCCGACAAGGTTCGAGATGTGATGGCCAGTTTGTTGAAAGAACTACGTCACGGGATCGGGGACATCGCGGATTGTTGCTGGGAGTTCTTGCGGTGTTGCGCTATCCACGCGGATGCTAAGGAGATCGTGGAGTATTCGCACAAACGGTATGCTGCACACAAGGAGCTAGACCTCGAATCAGGACAGGAATTGTCGGAAAGAGTGGGCGTCTTCGAGAAAACAGACAAGAGCTCCACCCTTTGGTTGAGGAGACTCAGACTTCTCGACAGCCTGCAGGAAGTGATACGTCTGTGTTCGACGAAGGAGAGTCGTGAACTGGCTTACAGGGCCATCGACTCCGTGAAGGATGCTTCGGTTCCCAGCGAATGGTGGAGCCGGGATGCAGACCTGGCGCTACTGTACGGGATTTACAAGCACGGATTCGGGAATTACGATTTAATTCGAAACGACGAAGAGTTCCGAGACGCCTTCAGATCGAAGAAATCGAAGAAACTCGGAAACGGCGAAAACACAGATTCCGAAGATGATTTACAAACTCCCTTATCAGGCAGACATGACATGCTGAGCGAAGCCTTCTGGCCCGATGCGCAGGTTCTGACACGGAGATTGAAGCGCCTGGTCGATCACATCATTCGGTCGAGCCAGATGCCACCCAAACCCGCCAAGGGCAGCGCGAGCGCCAGGTCAGGCGAGGACACGCCGTGGAGCAAGCGCGAGAGGCTCGAGCTGATCAAGCTGCTGATGAGGTGGGGGGCGCCCATGCTACCGGGGCCGGTGCCGAAATTGAACTGGCAATTCTTCCGCGACGTGACATCGTCGGCGCCGCTGAGGCGACGAAAGGATTCGAGCCTGGAAGCAGGGTACCAGGAGCTCATGAACGACATGCGCGACTACCTCGAGGGACCGGACGGCCTCGACAAGACGGGCGCCAAGAGGAAGAATCGAGCACCCAAGGGCCCGAAAGGCGAATCGAGCGCTGGCGCTGACGAGCAGCCGGCGAAGGCGTCCGTGCTCACTTACAAGACGGCCGTTCGCCTCAAGGAGCGACTCGAGATCCTCGACACGTTGCGGCTCGGGGTCGAGAGCGTGCGCGGCGACTGGGCCGCGCTGGGCTTCACGCCGCACCAGCACACGCACGATTTGCCGCGCTGGTGGACGGCGGGCGAGCACGACCGCGCGCTGACGCTCGGCGTCCTCAAGCACGGCGTCGGCAGCTGGGAGGCCATCTTCGCCGACGCCAGCCTCGGCTTCGACCCCGATGCGGGCGCGGGAGTCATGCCCGGGCGCGGGGGTGGGGGTGGGGGTGGGGGAGCGGGGGGCGAGGCCAGCGAGAAGGACGACAGCGACGACGAGAACACCGACGAGGACCACGAGCGCGAGCCCAAGCCGCGACCCGCGGGCGCCAAGCTCCTCGGAGCCGGGGGACCCGCGCCGCTCAACGTGCCGTCGCCCACCGCGTGCATCAAGCGGCTCAAGTTCGTCGCCAACGTGTTGCGCCGCGCGTTCAAGAAGCCCAAGCCGAAGCGCAAGCGGCCCGCGCCTGCGCCCGCGCCCGAGACGGTGAAGGAGGTGGAGCTCATGCGCGAGAACGTTCGGGGCCAGAAGCGTCCCGCGCCCGAGAGGGATCGCGAGCGAGAGCGCGAGGGTGGGGAGAGCGGGAGAGCGCCCAAGCGTCCCAAGTACGTGGCGCCCGCGCCTCCTCCTCCTCCGTCGCCGTCGCCCTCTCCTTCACCGACGGCCGTCGAGGCGGAGGAGGAGAGCACCGAGATGGAGTACGACATCGAGCGCGACGAGCAGGGATACCCGTTGCTCCCGTTGCAGCTCACGGAGACGCTGACGCTGGTGGATCTGGGCTCGGTGGATCCCGACAACCCGCGGGTCTTCCACCGCGACCCGTTCGTTTACCCGCTGGGTTACGTTGCGGAGCGCGACTATCCCAGCATGGTCAACCCCAGCGAGACCACCATGTATACCTGCTCCATCCTGGACGGTCACGACCGGCCGGTGTTCCAGGTCACCCCCTCTGACGTGCCCGAGCTGACGGTGCAGAAGGAGTCGCCGCAAGGAGTGTGGACCGTGGTCTTCGCCGCCGTCAACCGGCTGTCCAAGGACCCGCACCGCGACCGGCACAACCCGAGCGGCGTCGAGATGTTCGGCCTGTCGCATCCGGTCGTCGTGCAGCTCATCCAGGAGCAGATCGTGGCCGGCGCCCGCGACTACCGGCACTACCGGCAGCCGCCGCCGCAGCGAGCACCCGAGCTCTCGTCTTACCGGCGCGAGCCGGTGACGGAGCTCGAGGTGCCCAACTCTTCCCGGGACAAGAAGAAGGGCAAGGACAAGCAGCAGCAGCAGCAGAGTCGGAGCTCCGGCAAGAAACGGCAGGAGGAGACCCCCCCGGCCCCTCCTCCCCCTCCCGCTGCCTCCAGGAGGCCGGTTCCACACAAAGTGGAACTCGACCTCAACTCTGACCCCGACGACGAGGACACAGAGTAAATGAAAGACACGAATCTGGCACCGCGTCCTGTGTCCGCCCTTCTGATTGTCTGGGCTCGCAGAAGGAAGGAATCCTGTGCGGTCGACACACTCAGAACAGTTTATGATGTGGCTGCGAGGACTGCGATAAGGGGATGAGACAGAGCCCAAGGTGTTGTGACCACCTCTGCAAGTAGGTTCAGTGAATTGATTTTATTTGTATTCGAGGTTTCATGTGATCCTCAGCTCTTTTTTGTATGAATGAGATTTTTGCACCGGAGTTCCGAGATCTTCGGTTCTTTTTTATCGATGTTTGACGAGTGGTTGGAGATTTTAGGATTTTGAAGCTCCTTGTACTTCTGAGTAGTTGGCAGGCACTCTTCACCTGGTTAATGGAACGGGGAAAAAGTTTGCACTTTAGCTTTTCGTTTGTTTCACTCTGTCAATCTGTGTCCGGTTCAGTGGATAGGTCTCTTCAACGTGTTTATTGTGACACCGACAATACTTGCCTGTTTTGCGCCAACCTCATGGACTTGTGGGAAAATTGCAGGCAATACTCTTCTTGCCTTTTTCTGCAACGAAACTCGGGGCGTGTTGGAGTGGTTATCTCGAGAAGTCCACTTTTATTCGATACACTTGGATCTCTCAGTTAACAGGTCAAAAGTTTCTAGTGGAAGCAACATAATCCTAGTCGTCTTCGAGCAAGGAATGATCATTCGTCTGTGAATCAAGGACTGCATGAATCCTGCCGAAGATGTTTGATCATTCATGAGTTTTGAGTTGTAAATTCAGTGCAATTGTATGTGGTAGGGTTTCATGTAACAAAGAAAGAGGCTGGGCTCTTTGGTAGCTGATATCTGCTTTCTCTAGTAGAAGCCGATCTTCTTGGCCTTTCTCAAATCCATGTCATTTTGAAGGATCGGGACTTAACCAACAGGTTACGAGCCCCGTTCAAACCTGAAGGTGACCACCCTTCAGTTAGTCCTTATTAAAAGGTCGATGCATGAGACCGCGATAGAGGGTACTTTCCTGTGATATTCGAGTCACGAAAGGGACGGGTCTTCTTCACTCTATGATAGGAATGGGATTCTTATCAAGTGGTAATCAATAGCGAGGGTCTTTTGCCCTGAGTCTGTGCTCTCACCCTCACTAGGCTTATCCGTCACGTATCAGCCACAGATGTTGTATATAGTAGGGTAGGAACGAATCCACGGATGCAACAATTGTTGTATGTACAACTTCGTTGTATACATGTTATGCGTTGCTTCCATATTGATATTGTCAATATTTTTCGGTAATGCATCTGTACATACCCCACTCATATATCATGTAATGTACCATGGCAGTCCGTATTTTTGGTAGGTTATAACTTTTTAGTTTGCTATTAGATTGCATACCTAAATGGGAAGTTTTCGCGGCTGTTTTGTCGTACCAAAGGAAAGTTATATGCTTTTGAATATTCCAGGATTCTAGTGTTGTTTCATGTATCCCGACAAATTCATCTGTCGGGACACCAGAACACACAGGATATATATCACAAGCACACGACAATCTAATCCGTAAAGACTTGAAAAAGATGTTGAATAAAGATGATTTGGAGCTTGCTGATAAGTTCTGTATCAACCAGCAGGACATGTATATTAATATAATAATAAACTTGGATGTGAATCAAAAGCCCGTGCCGTGTAGACACACGGGCGTTTGATTGATATCTTTGTTGAGACACAATCAGTATTATTGTAAAGGGACTTCGAAAAGAGAGTGAGCGAGGTACTTGCATTTAAGACTTGCTACATGAAGGCCGTGACACATCGTCACTACCAGTCCAGTCAATTATATTCGGCATCACGAAAACGTAAGAGGAACTGATATGTGATTGTTGACCCATAAGACCTAGTTCTTCTGAATGACGTGACTTTGCCCAGTATCCACGTGGGGTACAGATAGCAAATCGAATGGAGAGGAGAATCGATGACGCCGTAAGTATGTCGTTTAATCCATCCGAATCTTGATAGCTAACAGACTTGCCAAGATTTATCGTCCAACGCACGGTATGTTACTCCGGATACAGTTAATCTCAGACTCAGCACTACCTTCCAGGCTTCCATTGCAAAATTCTCTCTTTCGTCTTGTTATCACCTTAGTCTGGCTAACAAGAGGTCTGGCAAGACACTACTCTTATCAACCTCCTTAGTCAAGTACTATTTACTGCCTCACGAATCCATTCTGTACTCGTATCTTGACCATGGAGAATGTTGTGTATAGTGGCAATCTCTTCTACAAAATCAGAATAATTAAATGGTCTGACTGCACTTCGTACTGGTTCGCCTGGCACAGGCTCGAACTTACTCTTATCAGGATTGTACTTTTGAATTGCTAAAGTCTCGCTCGGCTCCTGGGCCTCTTCACCACTCAGTCCCTTCCCTTCATCAGTTAACCCTCCTTCGGCGTCCTGTTGGCCATTCAAGTTCTCAGCGCTTCTCTGCGACATTTCCTCTCCGCCATCTTCAACTGGAGCAGACATGTCCATGGACAGTTCAACACCGTCTGTCTCCTCAGTCGCATCCTCTCCGTTTGCATTAACTATTCTATCATACCGGGCGCTGGCCAAAAGTTTCACCGGGTGCTGGGTAAGCAAGTGTTCCAAACATCTAAGTTTACCCTCCTCGTTTAAGGCTTCGTAAGCGAGCTTCACAGTTTCGGAACTACTAGTAGAATCTATCTTCAATGTCCGACACAATGTGCCATAATAAGAGTCGTGTGTATCTTGCTTATTCAACATATCCAGCAGCTCTGTCATGAATTTCTCTTGTGGTTCCAACCTCAACTGCAGCCTAGGCTTCCTGACGTATATGAGATCCGGACGGACCCATGCCACGCACTTGAGTAAGGTTTCTTGACTGCTGCTGTCAAGCCTGCTGAAAAGTTCTCGCTGTTCAAGCTCCTCCCCCGACTCAACTGCTACCTGCGCTGCCAGCGTCCAATCTCTCCAAGGTTCCTGTCTGGGCCCATACTTGCTCCTGGCAAATACATAGTAATACAGGACTCCTATGTCCTCATTTAATCTGTCCACCTGGTCCGTGTAGTCCACAGTACAATTGTACCGCTCTCGATCCTGGTCCTCTTCATCGTCAGCAACGTTAGAGAAGAAGACAACTTGAGTGGTTGTCAGGTTTCCTTCAATCGGTTTGCCAATGGTCACTCCTCTCCACGCGTAAGGACCATAAGGTCCGTCAATGTAATGCTCATCAGGATATCTGACGGAAGGATCGTCTTCTGGAATTGTTCCTTGAGCTGGTGTCTTCTTTTTGCCTGTACTGGAAGTCCTGCTTTTGCCACCTCTTGCTCCTCGGATTCTTTGATCACTTCCCGCAGGAACCTCTCTCTGCATGGACTTGTCTCGTCCCCACCCTCCAACGAGTTTGGTGTTCTTCTTGTCACCTGCAGATTTGGGCATGTCGTCCAGAAGCCACGACATGTCATCATCGTACTCTATCGGGCTTGCTTTTCCAGCTTTAGCATCGGACTGCTTAGACTCCACTGATCCACCTCCCTTGACGGTGTCTTTCTTCTTGCTGCTTGCCGTATCATCTGGATCCAGAGAACCCGACTTCTTCCTTGGAACCTTTTGAGGGGGAGGAGGCCGTCGTTCAATCCTTCCACCTGAACCTGCACCTTTCTTGGCCTTGCTTCGACCTGCTCCAACTGCAAAAGTTGATTTCGGTCCCAAGACCAAGTTCGTTCTAAGGTCTACATTCCCTTCCTCCCTCCCCACAAAGGTTGCCGTTTCAACATGTGAAATGCCAGAGGTTTCAGCTTCATCTCTCAGAGACGCGACAGGCACAAGAGACCTCTGCCTTCGTCCTATCCTGGGTTCAAATAATCCCAAGTTCAGTCAGGACACTCATAATCTTTTGGCCCACAACCATCCAGGACTTCATATTCTGGCAGGTGGAAGAGAGATCTGAGCGAAGAAATCTTCTGGACCCTCAGTAGGCGGATATGAGTAACGCGAGGCAACTTTCCGTTCTTTGATCGAGTAAAATCGTACAGAGGTAGTGATGACTATTTGAGGTAAGAAATTACCTCTAGCATTACGTGCCGATGCACAAGAAGCTGTTTCGGCATGAACCGTACTCAGATGAATTGCTTCTCGATTTCGTCTCAGCCCTGGCGGAATGCTCTGCATAGTCACAAATAGTACATCTATCACTAACACTCAGCAGAACAACTGAAACCCAAACACAAGCCCGACGACCTACATGAACAAATTCCTCAGTCATTTCAGATCAGAATACTACAAAACCCTCCTGTCGAGCTGATGAATCCTGGGAACGAGTTCAAAACCCAAACTTCACGTAGCAACACATTTGCAGCCACCAATCTCAAGACGTAGTTCCACAAAATACTGGACCCTTCGTCCTCCAAAAACCCTAGACAATTCTAAAACCTTCTGAACAAAGCCGTACATATCATTTATATGCATACGTGTATTATGTATATATGTATATATCAAAACATAAATTTTTCCAGATTTTCGATCAACAAGAATTCCTGTGAAGATAACAGCATCAACTAAATGGTCCCAGAAAGTTAAAAAAAAAAAAAAACTTTTTGGCCGCCGCGCTCTCAACCGCGGATTTTTGACAAGCTATGCTATGGTCTCAGCGCTCTCACAAGGAGAATTTTTTGAAGGAAGTTCAGAGAGAAGGGGAGAGAAAGAATGAATGAAGAAAGGAAGGAAGGAAGGAAAGAATTACCAGAAGCGGAAGCGAAGTGCTGCAGGCTCCATCCGAAGACTGTTGGTTGGGTTGGGCGTGGGCTGCGAGGATGAAGCTCTGAGAACCGAGGCGCGATCCCGAGAGCCAACGCCGGGACACGAAGCCTGCAGGACCAGCGATGGAATGCTGCAGCACTGTCCCCATTGCCTTGCCTCCTCTGCCTCCTCCTCCTCCTCCTCCTCGCGCATCTACAATTGCAATCTGAAGGCCGTCGGGACGGTAAGCGACCGTACGGGACGAAATCAAATCGAAGCGCCGGGCGCCGGGACGAGTCTGGGCCGAGGTTTGATTCAAATGTCCCCAGGGTTTTGTTAAACCCCCACGGGAGAGCCCGAAGATCGCAAACCTGCCGGACAATCTCAAGATCCGGCAGTTCGGACCGTCGGATGTTGGATTCTGATGGATAACGCCAGCAGCCGATTCCGGTTCCGATTGTGAGATGAATTATTCGTTCGTCGCTAACCGTGGGTCCGAACTCGTCCTTGTTAGCTTCTTGGTTCGAACCAGGGTCGAACGTAGACCCCTCCGTCGTCCATGAAGACCGATAATACACACTTACTCGTGTTCTCACGATTCTCTTGGATTTAAATTGCACCGACGACTTCTGTGATTCGCACGTCTGAAAATTTCGTTTCTAAGGCCATGAACGAGGCGGTCAGCGACATTCTGAAACCGAAATGTCACGTGAATTTTCCTCGTGCTTTCGTCGCTGCTTTTTCTATGCCAAGTTTCTGTTCTCATAATTTGTTTCCAAATGACTTCTGATTGTGGGATCCAGAACTTTATCGGTTAGGCCAGAAACATAGTCTTCTGTAGTTCATAAAAGAAACCCCCGGTAGAAATCTATGACGACGTGGGGACCAACGAAAAACTCTAAAAATCTTCAAAACTACTAGTTCACGACAAGAAGCAATTTTTGTTGCATGTGTTTTCTCACGTACGCCCACAAGAAATGTTTCAGCCATTCTTAATGAAAGCCAGAGACTAATAATCTGACAGTGATACAAAAACATACTCTTTTTATGAATTTTTTTTTCTACTTGATAAAATGGTTTGCAATTGATGCATTTGAAAACAAAGGAAAATCGAATTTGACATGGGAAAAAAAGGTCAAAAGAAGGATAATTGCTGAATGTGATTTAAGTAATGTTTGAATAACATAACTGCAGGATAAACATATTATCGTACTTATAAAAATTGCATTCAAAATTATTTTACTTGGATAAACTTTATTTAATGAATTTTATTACACCAGAAAAAACAAAAACTGGTAAAAACCTACAGATTTTCAACTAAATATTTTTTGAACGTTCTTTATTTCAAATAATTGATGGCTCCACTTTAACTGTATTAAAGTGAAAGAAAGTATGATGATACAACAAACAAAAATGCATAATTTATTAAATAACAACAGAAAGATAACCTTGCCGGACCTCCCACTAGAATTTCGACGCATTGCCAGCTCCATCGCTGCGCACTTGGTCCAATATTTGCGAGGACAGTGACCAGCCCCCTAATGCACCTCCTCGTTTTTGCGTAGGACTTGACATTCGCCATGGCTAGATTTTTAATGTGGTTGGGTACAGTGAGGCAGGAGGTAGTGCAACCATCGGCATTTACTACGGAGCGATGGAGCTGTATTGCCAAATTTGTGGCAATCATCAACACCACTCGACAGCCTGCCCCACCAATGCTTTGCATCAACCGCCAAGGAAGAACCGACTAGTACCTCATCCTACTGAAGGAATTCATCGACAAACTCCGTCAGCTACACATCGGCACCAGTTGCCTGATCTATTGCCTCGTGGGAAACAGTACCAGCGGCCTCCAGGACCCCCTCGGGCCTAGGCTTGGCCACGGTCCGGTCCGGACCGATGGTTAACCGGTTAACCGTCGGAATTGATTAACCAGTCCCAGATTTCTCCGGACCGATTAACCGGTCCGAAAAAAATTAGACTGAAAAAAAGTTCAGACTTTGTTTTCAGACTTCTCATTTTGTCTCCAGGAAAATCTGAATGACAATTTATCTAGAAGTACCTTGGTTTGATCTATCTCTCAAATTCTCAACTCGTGGTACCTCGATCCAGCTTGGATCCTCGATCGGGTGCTCTGCAACGGATTCAAAGCCAGCTACAGAGGATTCATCATCAGATCGTGGGGCATCAGTACCATCCGTGCTCGATCCTTGGTCTAGTCGGGAGCCTTCGATTCTCGTTGAGCGAAGAGCCTTCTCTACAGCCCGGTAGGCTGTTGTAGACACAAAACAACAATCCGAGTGAGTATGATATCGCTGAAAGTCGATATGATCAGTCACTGATAGTATTTCAGATATCGCTGAAAGTCATCAATCCTGCATCCGTAAGAAAATATTTTCTCTGCGGCATTTCAACATAACTTACCTGTCAAGGCAACCTTTTGAATTGTACTCCTGATGGCCAAGATCTCGTTTTATTGAGAGATAATAAACTTGTTTTGCGGGAACAGAGGGGAAATAAGCACCATGCCGGGAAGAGTGCGACATAATTTGTATAATTTCCACTCGAAAAGACGAATATTAGCGATTGAGAAGGCAAAAACTCTGTCAGTCCCTTCTTATATTCACGACAAATTCCACTATATTACACTTAAGCGAGACGGGAGTAACTGCACACGAGTCCATTTCATCATCCATTCGAGAAATTTGATTGTTAAAAAATCATCATGTTTTAGAGTTCCCGTTTGAGTCTTGAGTCTTGAACGTTTGGTTCAACCCGTTATGTCTTTCACACCTGTTGAATTCAACCGTTTAGTCTTTGAGATCTGGTATATAATGGATCAAAGGAGGGAGCAAAGGAGCAATGGTTGATTTGTGGTACTCTTTGGGCTAATTCCTCAATTGTTGATTCCGTCAGTGAGAGTGACTGACTGCGAGGAACTGGGTGTCTAGTAATTCCCACCTTGGGTTTGCAGCGGATGGGGGCAGGCACATGAATTACTATACTGACTACTCCACCAACTTCAGTGCGCAGTTTAGAGACTACATCCAGATTGGCTGCCTACGAGCTTGCTCTCTCTTTGTCTCTCGCATTTTTGCTTTCGATTTTGAATACCACAGCTCGTTTGTATTTACGTGAGTGCTTTGATACATTGCTGATTACATGTCCTTTACTTGCTGGGCTGAACAGATTGATGATGGTGCTTATGTGAAGTTAGTACGCTATGTCCTCTCCGAACGTAGCAGTATACCAACTCTTGCCGCCCGCTTTGTATCTCAAGTGAGTCCCTATAAGAATACCAAAAGCAAATTTGAGCCATACATCAAATGCGCTGGCTACTTACATCTCAGTGAACCATTGTCAAAATGTTACATCAATGCACCCAATAGAGAAGCTCTTAAGAAGAGGGACAAGCTATCGTAATGTAACAATTTTGGGCTTCATTTGCAAGCATAGGAGTGCATAGTCATATTCAGCTTCTTTGTTAGCTTTAAGAATTCCTGTGCTAGTGCTGAATTATTGTACCTGAATTACTTTTTGTTATTAAGGAAAAAGGTATGTTGCTTAACCCACTATTTCTGATTTTGCTTAATCAGAATCAGAATTAATTTCAGATTTGAATATTTTTCCACTACAGGTTGAACTACTCCAAAAATTCCTTTTCTATATATTAAGTAAGTTAGGGTCTAGGGTTTTTAGGGTTTAGGGTTTAGGGAATATATTCTAATATGTCTTGTCATATGCATGCAGATATTTTGAGTTGAAGCATGACAGACCTTTCTTTCATTGCGGATTCAATGCCATACTCGTCTCCAAGTACACATGAAGACTCTATCATTCTCTCTGGTCGGACAGCGACAACATCCACATGTCGTAAACGAAAGGCAAAAACCTCCGCAAGTTGGATTTGGAATCATTTCAAATTGGTGAAAGATTGTAATAAATCCCTTATCATATGTCTTGAGCCCATAGGTTCTCATAACAGTAAATGCACTATCTCTTTTTCGATCAAATCTGGAACAAGTTCGTTGTCTCGTCATCTCCTTGTAAAACACAATATCTCAAAGAGTCACAAATCAGGCGATCCTGTGCAGACTTTGTTTCGTGTAAATGATGAACTGCAGGATCCTTATGAGTTGGACAACGAGTCCAAAGAAGCCAATTTAAATGCCTTGGTTGCATTTGTGGTGGATCACCAACAAGCGTTCAACCTGGTCGAGAACGAGACATTTTGATCATTTTGCCGACGTCTCAACCACCATTACTCACTACCATCGCGGAAAACTCTCACACGCTCATTATCTGATCATTTTGAATGAGCAATACTACAATTTCGTTCAACTATAGACTCAATCAAGGGAGCGATTGCTTTCACTCTGGATTGTTAGTTGTCTTGTGTGATGCGTGGCTATATGATGATTACAATTCATTGGATTGATGAAGAGTGGAAACTTAAGTGTGTTGTGCTAGAATTTTGCTATTTTCCACCTCCACACAATCAACACACTACATCGGACTTGATTCTGTCAGTGGTGAAAGATTTCAACATGTGTTCCAAGATCAAGGCCATTACATCCGACAGCGGCGGACAAATGCCACCGGACATGATCATTGTGAGAGAGAATCTGAATGATCAATACTCTCTTCGGTTGGAGTATGGTTTTCATATACGATGCATTTGTCATGTCATCAATCGTGATGTATGTGATACTACACATTTCATCAAAAAAGAAGTGCAAATGCTCCGTCAAATACTCAAAGTTGTTCGTGGATCCGTTGCTATCCGCGTCAAGTTTTCATAATTGGCTGTTGTGCTGGGCGTTTCCAAGTGTTGTGTTGAAGTTCCAGGTCTGGATATGGAGACACGTTGGTACACCATGTTCACTATGATCGACCAGTCGTTTCAATATCGTGGTGTATTTTCAACGCTCTGTAACTCCGAAGAATTCTGTGACCGATTGGCCAATATGGCTTTGTCCGACATGGATTGACGTGTTCTCAAATCATGCAAAGACTTTTTGCAATCTACGTATCATTGCATTGTCGCCGCTAGTGGACGTGACTACATTTCACTTTCTCTCCAGCCTCTAATCTACAAACATCTCCTTACCTTGTATGAAAAAGCCCGTTTTGGACAATTAAACACTGGGTTTACCACTCTGATAGTCAAACAAGGTGCTACTGCCATGGAGTGTAACACTAGGGTTTAGAGAGAAGTTCACTCGAAGATAGAAACGTAAACTTTGAAGATGAGCAATACCAACAATGGTTCTCCTCTCCCTTTGGTGTTCCTACAAGAG